GCCCCGTCCGGCACCACTCGGAACCACGTGACGCTGACGTAGTCCCCCCCCCCCCCGCAATTCGCGACATCCGCCCGCAAGAGAGGAAATCCCCTCAGCCGAGTCGGGTACCGGAGCACGCGCATCCCGCGCGTATCCCCTTCGCGGAGTCCAGGGCCACCCGTCCGGGTACCCTGCCCCTGCCCGCGCGTCCCGACGCCGTGAGTCGAAGCCCCCGGGGGGAGCCCCCCCCTCCCCTGCCCCCCCCCCGGCTGCGTTTAGAATCCGCGGCCCAGACCAGGCGAGCTCTGCGCGCCGCGATTGGCCGAGCCGGGAACTCGTGACGCGTGCGGACCAATAGGAGGCGACGGCGAAGCCTCAGCCGCTAACTACGGCAACTAACACGTCCGTTAACTCGCTGTGTTCAATAACTAGCCCACACTTAACTCATCAACTCTTACATTAATTAGCTATGTAAATAGCGACACTAACTCAGTAACTAGCTTCACTGATGCAGCCAAACTAATTCAGTTACCTATTCACTAAAATAGCAACTCGGTAACTACACGAATACAAATCTTGACTTAAAGCTTTCGTGACTGCAGGAATTCATATTCTTTGGGCCTTTCGGTAAAGTCACGTAGATAGGTACAAATTAATAAAATATAATAAATTACCTATCAACGCGACTTTACCGAAAGACCCAAAGAATACACGGATACAGCCACAGCCATGGACACCATCTGACCCGAGCTATGGCTTTCACCTTGACCCTGATCTCCGCCCTCTGACCCTGATATCTCTTCGTCACCTCGAATTTTATCCCCGATTCTCCCCATGCCACCCCAGCTCCACCGGTGCTAGCACCAGGAGCGGGCGTCGGCAGCAGCAGGCGGCGCAACTATCGGTCACGATGCCGGTCCTCACCGAGTTCTCTAACAAGAAGCCGCTGCACGTGTGCACCTCTCTGGGCGAACTCAACAACCTGGCCCAGGTGAAGATGGAGAAGACCAAGTCCCCGCGACGGTGAGTTCTCGCCCTGTTCACACCGACAACCGCAACTCGCGCCCTGACACCACGCAGCTCGCGCACGCCACTTCACGCATTCACTCGCACCTTCCTACCCACACCTCTACTAAAGCCTGAGCAGACTGTTGGGGCGAGTGCTGTTAGCGAGCACCTGTGAAGGCCGGTACGGTACACGAGGGGGTGGGTGGCCAACACCACGCCCGGCCGCCTTTGTCTCTCTAGTGTCGATATTTACACACCGCGCCAGGTCCTCATTTGAGGCTGAGTCGACCTAGGGGAGGTCCAGGACCGGTTCAGATAATCGTTACCGATGTTGGCTGTTAGCGGGAATCAAACTCGGGGTGCGGGGTTTGTAGCGCAGCGTGCTAACCGCTACACCACCGCTCACACCTTCACACCCACACCTACAATCACACCGTCCTGCTAACACCCTCCTCGCTCATGCCAACACTCACACCTTCCCGCTCACACTCGTGCTCACAACTGCATACCTGTCAACCCCTTAGTGCCTATCTTATTACAGACTAATTCAGACCTTATTGGTCACCCCGTGGCCTTATAAATCTCAAGGTTCAGCCTACAAAGTCCCATCACAAGGGAGACACAAACAAATAAACAAAAACATGTGTTGCTCGTATTGAAACGGCTGTACGCCGTATGGACCTGAAAACTCAATTTCCATGTACAAGAATACGGGTAAACCTTATGGGTTGACAGTTATGCAACTGTGCTCACGAGAATGTGTGCAAGAGGCAGACGTGCCTAAGAAGGGTGGGCAGCTTTTTTTTACTGTAGACCAACATATATGTGTTTCAGTCAGCCTGGATCTATCAGTACAGTACTGTGTGCTATCCTGTAATAGAGTTCAACACAAGACTGGTACCAGACCTTGGTACGAATAATTTCCTTCCACCCAAATACAGGTGGCGATTGACGGATTAGCATCCTGCCACCCAGATGGCAACCCTATGCCCGCGCGTGAAGTGCTGAAAATAATGGTGTAGCCGAGCGCAAACCCTATCCCCAACCCTTACCCTAACCCCTGTCCCTTACCCCTTGCCCTCATCCCATCCCTCACGCTACGGTCTTGGGCTTGCAGCTACGCGCAGTCGGCAAGTAAAGTGCTAAAGCAAGCGGAGGTGTACGGGCTGGAGCGCGACGAGGAGAACGCCTACATGCTCTACATGCGCTTCCTGCATATCGTAGACCACCTGCGCAAGACGCCAGAGTTCGTACGGGACAAGGTAAGGGAGACGCTCGCTCCATACAGCCTCTGCCTGCGTGGAAAGTCATCGGCTCATATTCCCTGGACGATGTCTGAGCGTCACCATTTCACTGAAATCCCAACTGGCACCCACCCTCTCACAATCGCTGAGGAACCACAGTTGAGCTCGAAGGCAGCAGCCAGGTGGCGATTAGTCAGCACTACTAACAATTGCCCAAGGTCTGGATCCTCTGTATAATCAGATGTTTTCAGCCAACGAATGAGTGTATACATGTGCGAGCAAACCAGAGCACCTGGAGAAAACCCACGTGAGCGAGGAGGCAACACTTGCCCATCACACAGAAGGGACAGATGACATTAGCCCGCACTTTGCTGTTCTGCCTTCGGGCAAACCAGGGTATGGCTTCTCCTCCACACCCACGGGAAGGGGGTTTTGCAAACATTTGTATGCGATCCACCAACCCTCCCCGCCTCCATTGTTCTGGATTACAAACAGCCACACACCACCACCACCACATCTACTTTTTCGAGATTGTTATGATTATAGTTTGCTCCTAAACCTGCTTTAGAACTTCCTCATTCTTCGATTTCTCCATCCAACGGAACGTAATTGCCGAATGCGCGCCCAGAGGCCTACAACACAAAGTGAGCGCTGGTGATCGTACGTCAGGGGAGAACGAACGCGGTTCTTGGATTAAGCAAGGTTGTAGAGGCGATGCCCATGACAAATAACCCCGGGTGCATTCCATATTAAAAGCTATGCAGGGTTGAGCCTGGATCGTGCTTGGATGGGCAACCACCGTCATGCATGAAGCAGGTGTTATAGACTGTAGAGGTGCTATGTGGCGGGAGCAGAGGACAGTGCGGCAGACTATATTTTATTACTGTGCTATGCTCTAATGGCTTATGTTCCCTGCCTTTCGTGGAGTGACGAAATGGCTGCACGTGTGGATAGAGGAGGTGGGAGGGAGTCCTAAGTTTCAGCTGTGCAGTGATGGGGGCAGGAGGGAGGGAGATGCTCAGTCAAGCGGTGTCGGTGGGCGAATATGGAGCATGGCTGAGGGGAAACAATCTGGCAGAACGAGTCTCTGCCACGGGTGATGAAATCAGTCCTTGAAGGGCGTACGTTCAACGAGTATCAAGGAAGTCACTGAACGACGGAACGCTACGCCTGTTGTTGGTCGTGTGTGTGTTGCTGTGACTTGCAGTGTATGTATATATGTTGAACTTTCACACTGTACTTAGCCAACACTGCTAATCAGAATGTGGTGGTTGAACACTGTGGATGAGATGGAACAGTTTCAGTTTTTCAGTTTCACTTATTTGGTATAACCCTGTGAGCCATTCGGCTCTTGAATCGGGTGCAACCGCAACAAACAAAAACTTGAACAAGAAAACATTTTAAAGTGACTATGCGCAAACAGAAAAATCCAGGAAAAAACAGTAAAATCCTCCAGAAAAAGCACCGTACACCAACGCTGTGTGCAAAAATCCCAGTGGGATGCAAGTCAAATAACAACAACCACAAGACAACTTAGATTAAAGCCATCAGTTTAACTCCGTCTACAACAAAAAATACATGGCCAAACCAAAAAACTTTTCGAAACAGTGTCTGGTAACCCGAGTCCTCAACTCAGCTGGAGGAATCTATGAGTGAAGTTCACGGAAAAATATCCCTAGTAGCAGCGATAGAAGAGTGCTAAAGAGGCGACTCACCATCAATTAACGAGTGACTGGAGTGAACCGGTGAGTGCTGGACTGTCGTGCTATATAAGAGAAGGAAGTGGACTGATTGATGGCACACTGTCCACTGTATCCTTGAAGTAGGATCAGCTGGTACTGACATGTGTGCTGTGTCTGCTGTCTCCTTATCTTCAGGGGTTCTTCCTGTCTCTGCTGGGGAGCGACAACTTTAGCAAGGCTGTGAGAGAGGCAGAGCGGACTCTCCGAGAGCCTCAAAAACAGGCAAGGTCTGGGTTGGCGTAGCTGCGAGCATCACGGGCCTGCTCGCTCATAGCTCGTGCGACACGTTTAACCGTGGTTGAGACTTAGCTTCACATCTAGGTGTTCTCAGCCACGACCATGGTTCATGAGTTTTGGGTTTGGCTGCACGATGATCTGACCAAATCGCTCAATTGGAATTACACACATGGCAGCAATCATCGCCCCCTTTTGGCAGACTTGTGCCCGCAGGCCAGGTGCTGAGCCACCTTGTGCCGCACAGGGACAGGTGCCACCGGGGGTGCCCTTTAAAATGTGGAATAATGAGATGTAAGTCGCCTCTCTCTTGTAAAGACCTATGTGTCATCCAGGCGTAAAGGAGGGTGGCCCTATCATTAACAAATTAACATTACGATTATTACATTTGTATGGGAGATATTTGTGTGTATGTGGTTGCTCATGAGGCTCCGTGCGTGAGTAGATATGAGGAGGCCGAGGTTCGGCAGCGGTTGGAGGAGCGAGAGCGAGCGGCCGGGGAAGACGCCGCTTTCCGGGATGAAGGCGTCGGAGACGACGACTATGACGACGAGGATGACGACGACTTTAATCGGAGGCACGGCCCCCTGGGCAATGGCGCTGCCACGGGCGGCACGCGGCTCCCGGAGACCAGGAAACGCACGGTGCGTGCACGTACCCAAATGTATACTCGCGCATGTACATGTCCGCACATACATGCCTGCACGTAAACACCCACGCATACACGCTCACACCCACATGTACATGCCTGCACGTACATCGTAATTGGTGTGCTTACTTTAGAACGTGAGGGTGTAGATCTGCGTGCTTGTTTCGTGCATTTCCATGGGCGCGTGTTTTCTTTGTGCAGTGGGAATTCACAAACGAACCAAAGGCTGCCTTGAGGGACTCCGTGAGCAGCGTATAAATGTGTGTGTGGCTGTGAGCAGTGTGTAAATGTGTGTGTGGCTGTGAGCAGCGTGTAAATGTGTGTGTGGCTGTGAGCAGTGTGTAAATGTGTGTGTGGCTGTGAGCAGCGTGTAAATGTGTGTGTGGCTGTGAGCAGCGTTTAAATGCGAGTGTGTGTCGTTGGCAGTCGGGGTCGCCTGGCTCTCGGTCTCAGCCGGGCGCAGAGGTTGCGCCGACAGAATCGAACTCCCACACCGGTGAGTGACACCTCTCTCACCTCTCCATCTCCCCCCACCCTGAGTTTCCCACGCTCGGAGAGTTCTGCCAGGAGCACGGTTATTTAATCAATCAGTAAAACTGCCTATGATTGGTTCATTACCTCAGCTACCCGGCTAACATGAAAATAATTTACGCAAAAAAGTCACCGTTTTCCACGTGTGCCACTGTTGTGGAGGTGACAGGACGGAGCTTCGCGACCCCACCAGTATCGGCAGCCGAATGATGCCGGGTGTGGCTCACCCACACATCCATTCAGTCACCCACTTATTACACTCAGCTCACAAACACTTCTCTCTCTATTCTTTGGGTCTTTCGGTAAAGTCACGTAGATAGGTTCAAATTAATAAAAATTTAATCAACAAAACTACGACGTTTCGATCACAACACAAACGATCGTCATCAGGAGGAAAACAGAGGGGGAAAGCTGCTAAAAGCAGACTGTTTTAAAGGTTTTAAATGGGTGTAGCCCAAGGGTCATAAACAAAGTGGACGGGGCTAGTGATGTTAATGTGAGAAATTAGCATGTTAATGTAAGATCGCAGAGCCGCCGCCACGTCGAGGTCGGCGAGCGGAGGTGGTTGTGTTGGTGTGAGAAATTTAATCTGTTAATGTAAAATCGGAAAATAACAACTAAAATCGGAAGGTGGCTGGATGGGAATATCACAGCCAGTTATGGTTTAAAACTGGTTGATAACGTCCCTTCCAAATGACTGCTAAGTTTGTACCCATCTTTTCGGTTCAAATTATGTCTATATATGGATTGCTTCATGAACAAATCTTTGTTGATAGCCAGTGGGCTTACAAAAGTACCTTCGTCTTAGAGAACTCAACTTCACGTGAGCCAACCGCATTAAAACAACGATCAGCCACGGCCGACGTGTTGGTCCTACCATGTTTCAAATCTGCCTTATGCTCATGAACACGGTCCGAGACATGTTGTTTAGTTTCCCCAATGTAACTACTGCCGCAGACACAGCTTAGTTTGTCGACGCCAGGCTATTGCATATCGGGGATCCTATCCGTCACAGATGGGATCAGGTCACGAATTTTACGTACTGTGTTGGGGTGATTGCTTGACAGATTGTGTGGTCCGAATATCCATTCAGCTTGACAGCTTGGTGCACGTGTTTCAGTTCACTGGCTAGGTGATGATCCTACCATGTTTCAAATCTGCCTTATGCTCATGAACACGGTCCGAGACATGTTGTTTAGTTTCCCCAATGTAACTACTGCCGCAGACACAGCTTAGTTTGTCGACGCCAGGCTATTGCATATCGGGGATCCTATCCTTCACAGATGGGATCAGTCACGAATTTTACGTACTGTGTTGGGGTGATTGCTTGACAGATTGTGTGGTCCGAATATCCATTCAGCTTGACAGCTTGGTGCACGTGTTTCAGTTCACTGGCTAGGTGATGATGGTCAGAGATACATCGAGCTCTATGGTGTAGAGTTTTGATGAGGGAATTATTCTGGGATGGATGGTGGTGGGAGTCAGGTTCTAGGTAGGCATCCGTATGGGTTGCTTTCCTGTAGACAGATTGTCCCATTGAGTCATCTGGTCTCTTTTCGATTAGAGCATCCTTTTCCACCTCCCATGGTGAATTTGATGGCTGGGGTGTATTGAATTAATGTGATTGAGGAATTGGTTCAGAGCTGGTCGGCCATGTGGCCAGATGACGAACGTGTCCATCTACGTACCTCTTCCACAAGGACGGACGTAGAGTGGATGCCTGGCATCTGTCTCAAATTTTTCCGTAAAAATATTGGCTACAACCGGAGATAAGGGAGAACCCATTGGGGTACCTTCAACTTACTCTTTGGTTCTTTCGGTAAAGTCACGTAAAAAAGAGAAAATAATAAATTAAATAATACCATACAACGTTTCGATTTGCAACACAAGCAATCATAATCAGGTACAAATGAAAGAGAAAACAAACCTAGTAAACTTAGAAATATAATGCAATACAACACAGATAGTCGGCTAACATAACAGTCAACACCCTACCTGGTTGATTACGTTCTTCCAAAGATTTCTAAATTTAAGAGAGAGATAAAACACAGAACCGGAGACACATAGACAGACACATAAGCAGAGAGAGATAACACAGAGACACACAGAGAGAGACACACACATAGGCACACACAGAAACAACGCCTCTGTGTCGAGGCCTTAAATAGACAGAGAGGGGGGCGGGGGGGGTAGAGAAATTAGCATGTCAATGAGAGACCTGGCGCAACTGCAGGAAGCAAGAGCAGCAAAACGAGGGGAGACAGAGAGAGATAAAACACACTAAATCAAACAAACTTAGTAACATTTGGAAATGTAATGCAATGCAACACAGAGAGTCGGTCAACACACAATTAACGCATGGCCTGGTTGGTTACGTTTTTCCAAAGATTACCAAATTAGAAGTTAAGTGTGAAATTTGAGAGAGAGACAAGACACAGACACGGAGACACAAAGACAGACACATGGGCAGAGAGACACAACACAGAGACACACAGAGAGAGAAAACAAACTTAAAACCTCCCCGTAGAGGTGGTTCAAACTTGATTTGGCGCTTTTTGGTTTTCTCGAAAGAGAAAATAATAAATTCAATAATATCATACGACGTTTCGATTGCAACACATTTCTAAGTTTACTAGGTTTGTTTTCTCTTTCATTTGTACCTGATGATGATTGCTTATGTTGCAATTGAAACGTCGTATGCTGTTATTTAATTTATTACTTTCTCTTTCTACGTGACTTTACCGAAAGAACCAAAGGGTAATTCCTGCGGTCATGAAAGCGCCAAATCAAGTTTACTACCTTAAACTTGTTTGTAAAATGTTCCGTTCCAGGTGAAGTATGTATTGGTGAGGCAGTGTCTAACCAGGGCCGGTACATCAGCATTCAATCCTTGTTGGACTAAATCTTCAATAATTGCAATGGTGTCGGGCACAGGAACTTTGCTGAACAAATAAACTACATAGAAACTAACAAGCAAATCACCTGGAGATAGTGAGATGTCCTTAATTAAGGATACCAAGTGAGCTGAGTTAAGTACAGATGAGGTGGTCTTACCAGTGAATGGTTGCAAGGTCTCAGACAGAAACCGGGCTAGTTTGTATGTGGGTGAGTCAATGGTGGGGACGATGGGACGAAGGGGTGTTCCTTCTTTATGGATTTTTGGTAAGCCATACAATCTGGGAGGTCGAGCAGTAGAGAGTTTTAAGGAAAACCTTTGGTTTGTTTTATTAATAAAGCCGAATCAGTGCTGATGCTGTTGGTTTTTGTAACGAGGCTGTTGGTGGGATCTCTTTTAATTTTTGTGTAGCTACCATCATTAAGTAGGTCCTCAATTTTGTTATTGTATGTGGTTTTGTCCATGATGAAAGTGGCATTGCCCTTGTCGACTGAGAGGATGATGATATCATCCCTCTTTTTTAATTGAGATAGCTCAAAACGTTCATCCTTCTCTCTCTGCTTGTTCCTTCGCACCACTCCACTTTGGATTTCCCACCCACCATCGTCTCGCTCCCCCCCCCCCCCCCCCCGCAAGTTCTTCCAATAATGACCTTGCTCAATTCCAGAAACATGTTACACTCTTATCTATTACACCTGCAACAGTGCTCGTGCTGACACACCGGATCTGTGCGCGTGCGTGTATGCGCGTAGGCCCCTGCCGCACCAGCATCACGCCGCAGCAGCTCTATTCTATGCTCAGCGACGGTGATGTCCAGCTGGTGCTGATGGACGCACGGCCCTCCATCGACTACGCGGCCTCCCACATCATGTCGGTCCGCTGCATCAGCGTACCGGAGGAGGCCATCAACCCGGGGTGAGTGAGCACATGACATTACCAGCCACCATTCGCCACCCGGTGACGGTGTCATCACCAACGCCCTTGTACCAGGCTAGGTGTCCTTGGAAGTCATCACGTGAAGTGAGAACGGCGCTTGCTGCTGGCAGGAGGTGATGGGACAGATCCAGGTACCATGGGATGACTGACCTAAGATTGCTGGCAGATGCACCACCTGAGCTCCCCAATGTTCCAACTGCTCACACACGCACACCTGTGTGCCCAAAACATCGCTTATTGTATATGTTTCGTGTTATTTTTACCTGTTATCTTTGAAAGTGTTGAGTTATTTTGTTAATTGCGCTTGTGTATAATTGTCAATGTAGTAGCCGCAGCAGCACCAGACGATTTATCCACCACCGTTGGTTTGGTGTAGGACCACAGTGGCGCAGATAGAGGTGGGCCTGCCCCAGGAGTCGCTGTCGCTGTGGGGCGACCGGGGCAGGGTAGACTACGTGCTGCTCCTGGACTGGAGGAGCCGCCCGGAGGACGTTTTGCTGGGAACGACGCTGCACAGCCTACGCGACGCCATCTACAAGGTAACACAACGGCGGGGGACGGGGAGACACGACGGGGGCGGGGGGGGCACGATGGTGGGGAGGAACAATACGTACACGATACGAGACGATACTTGACAGTAGAGGAATGTGCATTGATGTGATGGGGGAACGCAACAGGTGACAATGAGAACACGACTGTAGAAGTTGGCACAACACACATGGGGGCACAACAAAACAGCAAAACACAAAATCAATACAAATAATTGAGGAAAAAATGCGAAACGATGGAGGAAAGTGACACGATGGATGACCAAGGCCCGACACAAAGATAATTCCTCGACGGCGTCGCCGCGGAGCTTAGCGCAACGCAACACGACACGGCTCGTATGCACGTCACATGTGCAGCTGTTTCCCCGTGTGGATCGTGCGTGCAGTGGGACAGCATGACGATCCTGCGCAGCCAGCCGCTGGTGCTGGAGGGCGGCTACGAGAACTGGCTGCTGCACTACCCCATGTGGTGCAGTGAGCCACATGTGCATGTGCCAGCCAGGCCGGGGCCACCCAGCACCCAGCCTGATCTCTGTACGTACGCACGCACCCACCTAATCGCACACACGCACGCAATCACCCAGGCATACATGCACCTACCCAATTACCCATGCACCCACGCATGCACCCATCCAATTACCCCTGAATGCATGCCACACTGGCACACATACTGTCATTTGCACGGCATACATGCACACTGTGTTCACTCCTGCCCATCATAACCTGTAGGCATAATCACTATGCGCGCCTAGCATCACCTATACCCACCGTCACCGCACACTCTCGAAACTCACTCCACTCACCATTGCTCACCTCCCTCATTTCACTAACCCTCCAATTGCCCTCTTGCTTGTTGCGTGACTCCATATTTCTCTCTCCCGTCACTCACAGTGGAACTCAACTACCCCTCGCTGGAGGAGCCCCCACCTCCCCCGACCCCGGCCCCTCCCCCTGCCCCTCCCCCCTCCGTGCGGGACGTGGGGTCCTACACTCTCGTCGCGGGTGTCCGACCGGAGCCCGAGCAGAGTGGTGGTGGCGCCACTGCCTCCGCCGCGGCAGGTGCCCCAGGGGGCTCGCTGGATGCCGTGCCCTCGGGCCGTCCCACCGCTGCAGCCAAGAGCATTCCTCAGGTACCGAAGAAGGCCCACCGCAGTCATCATATGGCAGCACAGGGCACCGTCACCATCGCAGCACGACACCCGTGTGCCCGTTGAAACGTGCAGCCCTCTATCGCAATGTTGGACGAGCAATCGAACCGATAATAATTCTTGTTGGTGTAATAAGTGGCTCGGACATGGTAAGTAACTTCAAGGTATTTTATTAAATCTTCGGTACAGCCACCCTCTCTTCCCGCGGATGTCGACCCGCTCGTGTGGTTGCGCTGCCGCGCGCCACGTGACATTCACCCCGCTCGCTAATGCACAGCCTGGCTGGCGGCGCGCTATGGAGCGGCTGAGCGGCTGGAGGTCGAGCCGCCACGTGGCAGGTGGAATGGCGGGGCAGCAGCGACGGGGAGCTCCTCTTGATATTCAACCACCGACCCCGCACGTTGCTGTACCCCCTGCTTATATTCCCTTCTCAGAGGCTAAGCCCCGCCTCTGGCCACGCCCCTCCTGGAACCTTCGAGAACGTTCCGGAGGCTTCCCTGCTAGATCCGCCCATTCACCTTTCCTCCAGATGGAATCCCTACTATAGATAACTAGGGGTTGTTCGGGGGCGCCTGTGGCGCCCCTCACGACCATTTACGTGCTTCGGCCAGGGAAATCACAAAAAAATTGCACACGAACGATGCATTCACACAAGCACCCGATGCTCCGTTTTGAAGTTTTAAAATGCAACATCTTTGAAGTGTACAATGTTTGAATTAGATCATTTTATTTCTTCTTTTTAAAGCTTATATAATTTTACATCTGGAAGACTTCATTGAAAACGACATCTCGTGTGAATTTTCTTTCGTGGTTAAGTAGATGGCCTTGCTGGGGGTTCGGTTCGAGGCGGATTTTCACCTGTTTGGGATTGCGGGATCGAGATAAGGCGACATAGAGCTGGCTGTGCGAGAAGACCGCCGTCTGCAGATTGATGCCAACGTAATTGAACGTCTATCCCTGCGCCTCCATCGTTCATGCAGGGGGCGCGTATGTTTACAGCGCTCCCTGCATGAAAATGACGGAAAGTGCAGCGTTCATCACAGATAGATAAAGTATAGGCGGTGCCCCCCAACAACCTAGCATGTGTATAATTACTCTCTCTCCCCCCTTGCCCCTCCCCCCTTTCTAACCTTTATAACCTCTTACCATGGCAGCTCTCTCTCCCACTGCAGCAAAAAAAAATTGTATTGCTGTGTTTGTTATATTATTTTACTTTCATAGTGGAAAAAGTCTGCACTGTACATGAGTGCTGTACTTTTTTTAGTGTTCAAATGCACTGCTGGATGAAGGGCCACCGCAGGCTGTGCGTTTGTCGTGGTTGGAGGCGTGACGTCATTACACACGAACGCGGCTGAGGTGTTGTGAAAGAGAGCTGACGTCACCGGCCATATGTGCGTGATGGATGCGCTGCTTGGTCCCGATCATGTGACGCACTTCAACCTATCCGTGCCGCGTTAGTCACAGAATGACAGAATCACAGACCTGGGTGTCTATATATTAGGATACATGGACTGTATCAATGTAAATGTAACCTCTAAAATAATCCAGGAGATGGCGCTCTCTTATTACATTGGCTTACATGAGGGGTGGGGAACGGCCCGCGAAATAATTTGGTCAGGCCCTGCCAAGGCAACCGCACGACTCGAAATTAAATAAATCTAGGCGCTTTTTTCATAACAACATAAATTAAATTTTGTATGGCCCGCGAATGATGTTATAAATATCCAAATGGCCCTTGGCAGGACAAAGGTTCCCCACCCCTGGCTTACATCATGGACGATATGAGTAACAAAATTAACACGCAAACGAGGATACCCCTCCTTCACATGTCTATCTTTACACGTAAAAAATGCAAGTATTTGTACACATCCCATCAGCCATACGGCCTTCCTTCTGGGAGTGCATCATTTCAGCAGTGTTGGTTGTACACAAACCAAGCTCTGGTCCGGTTTTGATATTCATTGTCTCATCAGCATGGTCCAGCTCACTTGAAGCAATGCTGGTGAACTGCCAGCTGTTATAGGCAAGGGCCCGCTCTGTGAAATATGGGTGCTCGAAGGTCCTGCCAAGTTTTTAATCAGGGCGGCAATTACTGCGTGTTTCCAAATCGAGGAGAGCCCAGCTCTCTTGGCGGTGTGGACCTGAGACGCTGAGGTGTCTGCGGTGTGGTCTATTCTGACTGAGCGCAGGTGGACCGCTCCAAGAAGCCGTCGGTGGCGGCCGCGGGGCCCAGCCCGGTGTCCGCAGCCGCGGCAGTGCCCGGCCCGGAGTGGCTGTCTGCGCGCGAGCGCGAGAAGATTGCGCGCGACGCCGCAGGAATCAAGGAGAAGGCGCGCGTGGAGAAGGAGAAGAGGATGAAGGCCGAGGAGGTGAAGAAAAGGAGGGCAGCGGAAGAGGAAGAGAAGAGGAAGTGGGCAGAGGAGGAAAAGAGGAAGGCGGAGGAGAGGCAGAAGTTGGAGGACGAGGAAAGGGCGAGGAAAGACCACGTGGAGAGAACACGGAGAGCACGTTTAGAGAAGGAGGAAAAAGAGAGAGACAAGGGTGGAGCTGTGCCCTCCCCTGCCATCGGGTCTGCCAGAGAGAGCCCTCCACCTCACGCGCCGGTACGTGCTCCTCATGTTTGGCGAGTGGAGGGTGTGAGTGGGTAGCGCTGGGCAATTCCTGTTGACAAAAATCTAAACCGCACATATAAATCCCATGGTTTTATCACGGAAGAAATCCCAATTCCTCCGTGAGCAATTTCCATGTTAACGTCTCTCTTCAGCCGCAGACAAATCATTCTCGGAATGGTTCCTTGGCTGTCAATCCCCGTTTATGTCACTGCTGAACCCCACGTCTTCATGCGTACAGTTGTTGAGCGCATGCCCAAAGGTCCAAAATGTCACGCTTCTTTCGCTACCACTGTGGTTACCGTTGATTCCTCCACCCGTGTTGAGGAGTCGGTTTGCCAGACACGTGTCTCATCCACACTATTCAACACACTCAGTCACCCACTCAACAACAACAAAAACAGTCGCCATTAGCCACTAAGTGGTGATGACATCACCACAGCTTTCATGCCATGCTAGGTGTATTTTGAGTCCACGTGAAGTGAGGATGGTTCGCTGGCGGTTGGTCACGGGACAGACCCAAGTGTTACGAATAGACTGAGATGGCTGGGAGATGCACCACCTGTGCTCCCCATTATGTCAATTTGCTGTGTTTTAGCAGCCTGGCACTCCGCTCATTATTGTGAGCATCGCTCCTCTGCCTGCCGCTGTTGGAGAGTGACTGCCTCCAATTGCCCAATAGCGTCCTTCACGAGCCTCCTCCATGGAGGCCAATCTTGATTGTACTTGTTGATGACTGCTGGTAGCAGTCATCAACAAGTACAATCAGCGGCACATCCTCACCGACTCTCTCCCCCACTCACCACACTGCAAGTCACCTCACTTCTCTTTCTGCTTTTTCCCTCGCACCACTCCACTGTGGAATTCCTTCCCATCTCTTTTTTGCCACATTTTTTATAGCCTTGCTACATTCAAGAGACATGTTTTATTAACTCTTCTCTATTACAACTGCGATAGTCCTGTTTGTTGTTGGCTGCTTGATGTTTTGCCATTTTAATCCTGTTCTCAGCAACTTTGCTTAAAAAGAACCTCCCACTATCCAGTGAGGAATCCCATTTGATTCCTGTAATTCACGATTCGGGGCTGCCGTCGATTGTGCGAATCACCCGGCGCTAGCGAAAGTTCATGATGCGAAACGCGTGAACGTGCGGGAGCCGCCCCTGTCTGTTTGTGACGATGGCGTCAACAGGACGTGCGAGCAGAACGGCTGCGCCAACAGCAGGAGGAAGCGGAGAATCGACAGCGCGAGGAAGCCGAGCGGGTCTCCAGGATTCGCGAGAAGGCGGAGCAGGATCAGCGTGGCAGGATGCAGGTAGTGGGCGATGAGGGCAGCACTTCCTATTTGTGAGGAGCGGTACGTCTTGTTCGGAGGGGCGGCACTTTTTGTTTGAGGAGAGCAGCACTTATTTGAAGTCAGGGCGGCAATTCGGTTAAAGGCATACAGAGGCAAACATGGTGTGACCTCGTGTGCGCTGGTTGACAGCCCGCATACCACCCACACCAATTGCACCAATCCCACACCAATCGTATGAGCCACACCGCAACTGCATCACAAATACAAATTGCAGACTAATCCACCAACCACACACGAAATGCAACAAATAAACACCAAACACACCAACTAACTACACTGCTCCTCCCCTATTGAAGCTTCTGCAGGGTAAGCGTACACACAGACCAATGTGTGCACGCGTGTCCACACGTGTCCACACGTGCACACACGCGTCTCTGGGTCTTCACGCGTGAGCGCCGTTCACGTTCAATATTTACGTGCAGCATGCATTCACCGCCCCTGCCCATTTCCCTCCCACCGCCAGGACGGCCGCATGGGACCGTCGCGGCACACCCCGGACAGTCATGCTGACGTCCACCCGACCCAGCCGGGCCCTACGGCCCGCACCGCCGCGACCCAGGGGGGCGAGCGGGACCGGCCGCGCCTGCAGCGCTCGTTCTCTTCGCCCAATGTTGCCCAGCTGGGGATGGGCATTGACGAGGAGGACGAGCGGACATTGGTGGACGGGGGGCTTCGCCCCAAGCCACAGTTCGACCGCGCCAGCAAGTACGTGGGCCCGCAGCGAGGTGCCTGCATGGGGGGGGGGGGGGCACACGGGCACAAGCGTCATGCACCGTCGCCATCAGCTCCCGAGCGTGGATTAATAGCACAGCTTGCCGGTGTGTTTTCTTTAATGATTAGGCTTTCACAGCCGATGTTAGGATTCGCAAATTATTTTTGGGACGGGCCACATAATGGTCTGGCCAAAATTAAGTGACGAGGCCCTTCACCATCCGACGCAGCCAAACAAATTAAACCATCACGTTTTGTGCGAGCTTTTCATGACACGCCAATAGTTTTTGTTTCAGCTCACTCAACGGTGAGTTCCAGAACAATTTTCACGTTGGCTAACACTTGGCTTCAAGCTTCCGATGAGTTGCTGCAACAGCACTAACGTGTACCTCGCAGCAATGGTGATTGATACCTCAAACTGGTCCTGGACTTGCTCTAGGTCCGTTGTTTAAGCATCACCACCGGGGGGAGACAAAGGTGGCTGGGCGTGGTACCAGCCACACCACACCTTTGTCGGTGCCGCACAATGCCACATTTCACGGGTGCTGCTCGATTGCTCCAGCAGCCTGCGTAGGCCACATGGGGGATCTTTATCTTTGTGTGTTGTGCGTGCGTCAGGCCAGTGCCTGTGGCGGCGGTGCGGGCGCAGTCCTCGGCGATTCTGCCGATGCGCCACCTCAACCCGACATACGGTGGAATGGGCCGCGCGCTTACGGGTCTACGCAACCTGGGCAACACATGCTACATGAACTCGGTGGTGCAGTGCCTGAGCAACACCACGTCGCTCGCAGAGTACTTCCTCACTTCGCAGTATGTCAACAATATCAACAGGTGCGAGCGTGGGGTGCCCGGCGGGGTGTACCTCGTACGGGTGTTGTGCGCGGCGTGCGTGTGAAGACTGTAGGCATTGTGCTTGTGATTTGCAGGTGTTGAGTGCGTGTGAGCAGTTTTTGGCTGTAACTTGCGGGTGGCGTATCTGTGTGTGCAGTGTGCGTGCGGTGCGCATGGGGTGTGTAAGCGGTTGCGACGCAGGAAGGGTGGGCGTGTCCGCACTCTCAAAGCCTTCATGTTCTCACACACACTCTTCTGACACTGCCTGCCCCACGCACTTCTTGATAACTGGTACCAGCGGTGCCAAGATCGACCTCTGTGGAGGAGGCTCGTGAAGGACTGTCCTGAGCAGTTGGAAGCAATTGCCCTAAAGCAACAGCGGAGGGCAGAGGAGCGACGCTCTCAACTACTGGCAGAGTGCCTGGCGGCCAAAACGCAGCGAGTTGGCACAGTGGAGTGCAGGTGGTGCATCTGCCAGTTGTCTCAGTCAGTCAACCACTAGCACCTGGGTCTCTCCCGTGACCTGCCGGCGAGCCTTCGACACGTCACGTCGCCTCAAAGTGCACCTAACCTGTAACAAGCTCCGTGGTGCTGTCAGCATCACTTCGCGGCACACATTAACAATTGCAAATGTTGTTCAGGAACAACCCCCTTGGCCGCAAGGGCCAGGTGGTGGAGGAGTTTGCAGTTATTGTGCGCGCACTCTGGTCGGGCCAGTACCGCTCCATCACCCCCCGCGACTTCAAGTTCATGATTGGCCGCCTCAACGATCAATTCTGTGGCACGGAGCAACACGACTCGCAGGAGCTGCTCATCTTTCTGCTCGACGGCCTGCACGAGGACCTCAATCAGGCGAGCCCTCGCAGCCCGCCCTCACAGCACCGAGTCGCAACACTCTTTCAGAATCAGAATATTTATTTATCCTGGAGGAATCCGATGAGCTTTTAAGCTTGTTTTCAGAGATGTCCAGTAGGGGTGTGTAAGAACGTTACAAAAACAAACAATACAAAATCTAACAATGCAAAAACATGATAATAGTAGGGGGTGATATTGCTGTTGTGTGATCCAAATTGAGTAATTTTCAAGGAATTTTTGGGCATTGAGATGTTTGCCGATACCAATTACATTGTGTGTGTATGTGTTTAGCTATGCAAGGAGACCAGAGAACCTGGAGGAAAATCATGCAGAACCGGGCGAAAACATACAAAATCCCCTCTCGCGCACACACTTACTCGCGCTCACATGTAAACTCGAACACAGAAAGTGCCCGCTCGCAGGCCACTCTCTGTGTCACCTTGTACCGCACAGGGACCTTTGCCACTGGGTGTGCCCTTCGAATTCTTTAAGTTAAGATGAGGCATAAGGCGCTGTGAGTTGCCGAGGCTTTTAAACGTGCAGCATACAAATAGCCGGATGAAATGTTGAACTTCTATCGCACTGTACATAGCTAACTGTGCTAATCTGAGGTGATGCTGATTACGACAAAGATGATGATGGTGGTGATGGTTGTTGTTGTGCGCAGGCAAAGCGTGTGCGCGTGAAGGAGGAGAAGACGGAGCACCTGTCCGACTCAATGGCGGCACAGCTCGCGTGGGACGCGTACAAGCATATCAACGAGTCCATCCTTGTCACCCTCTTCCACGGGCAGTTCCGCTCCACCATCAAGTGTCTCACCTGCCAGAAGGTGTCGCGCACCTTCGAGGTCTTCATGAACCTGACACTGCACCTGCCTTCTGACACCACCTCCAAGTGCACGCTGCAGGTGATGACGCCGACGATGATGATTACGATGGTGACATTGACGACGATTGAGTTAGTGTTCGCGCTGTCGTTCTTGTAGCAGGAAGGCGCTACTGTGCTTCACAGGCAGTCTGCATTTGTTTCACAGTCGGGGGTGATGCTGTTGCTGTGTGTAATTCCAGTGGGTAGTTTGCAGGGTAACTGTATTCATTAGATATTTAATGTGATGTTTAACGTCCACCGTGAACCATTCGGCACGTAGTATCATATGGCCAATACACCCTGCAGTAATTCAAACCGCGAAACCTCTGCAAAGAGCGGCGAATGCGCTGCTGCTGGGTCACGTCACCGCGCCAAAGAATGGCGATAGCGTGAGCAACCCCAAGTCGGGTTTCTGTGTGAGGAGGATGGCTCAGCCCTGTGCAGCTTCAATTTATGATCTGACACGATCGGGCGCCATTCTGGGCGATGTCATGACATGCGGTGGCGCAGGGGTTTACACACTGGGCCAAGAACCAGGGAGATTGATTCCATGCCAGGGCTAAACCCCGGTGGTGAATGATATCTGAACCCTGTACCAGGCCTCTCTTACAGGGGCGTGGTCTCATTCAGTGCCTGGTACGGTGTCTAAAAATTTGCACGAGGGAGGCAGAGGTGACCAGGCGTGTGGCACTGGTCGCACCAGCCTCCGGTAGGTGAGCCGCGGTGCCCTTAATAGGTGCTCGCTAACCACACTTACCCCGATTGTGTGTGTTGCCTACACGGGGGACCATTGTCTCGTGCCTCCGCCCACAGGACTGCCTGCAGATGTTCTCCAAACCCGAGAAGATGACAGATGCCAACCGCTACCTGTGCAGCCACTGCAAGCAGCGGCGCGAGTCTGTCAAGACGATGGAGATCTGGAAGCTGCCACCCGTGCTAATCATCCATCTAAAGCGGTACGGAACCTCCCTGCCCCCCGCCGGTACCCAGGCAACGACAGTTACCCTTGGCGACAGAATGCGGCGGTCACCGTAGAGATTACATGCCACCGCCATTGCAACTCCTTACTCTGACACCTTCCACCCTGCGCTAGATCCCGCAGCTGCTGCTGCACCGGAGATGCACGGCAACTTCCGAGATCTGCCCTGACAGCCTCCACCATCTGCTCTTAGACTCGCACACAGAGACCTACGGATTCTCAAAGAGACCCATAGACTTTCCCTGACAGTCTCCCACTGTCTGGATTTTAGACTTCTCTTCCATTTTGTCACCGGACTTGTGAAGACCACTCCAATGCCAGTCTTGGCAATTGGCCCGCCTCCAACCTGCCACTTCACATCTACAACCCTCACCTCTCCTGTTCTCTTCCGGGCGTCTGCATGGCTTCTTCTGTGATACCATGAAATTCCCAGCGTCCGTCTTACAGAAGTGATTCACTACACATATCATTATTTTTATAATCAATTGCATTGGGACAGATCAACTCCCACATTCAACCTTCACTCAGTGGGAGGTCGCTCGTTCTCCTCTGCTGCTCCCATTGTCTGGAATTCCCTTCCCCCTGTTCAGGTCCAGGCTCCAGACCTCCATCTTCTCCTCTGACTGATTCGTAATTCGTTACTTTTGGGTAAAATTGTGAAGGGATAATGCCAATTTTAAGGTATACCCTCCACCATTAGACTGAGCCAATCAAATCAAGTTGTCACAACCACAGCATCATCACATGCAATCACATCTAGATGCCACAATATGAAGCCACATTGTGTTGTATTATTGTAATTTGTCCGCTCGTGATAGTGATTGTGTTGAATGATCTCCGCCCGGTTCGCATGGAGCCACCAGTGCTCATGGAGCCACCGGTTCACACGCTGAGTCCAGAACACGGGAGGGCAGTAGTGGCCTCAATTACTCTCGTGTGTTCGTACACAATTGCACACACGTGTGAACTCGTGGATGCTCGCCCATGCTCACCCGTGTGCAGATTTTCCTACTCGGGCCGCTGGAAGCAAAAGTTGCAGACGAACGTGGGCTTCCCGCTCACGTCGCTGGACATGAAGCCGTACATCATCAACAAAGATAATCGATACTCCGAGTACAACCTGTACGCCGTATCGGTGAGAGTCGTCCACCCAGTCACCCGCTTGTTCACTCGTTCACGCAACTCGTTCACTCAACCTTGCCCACACAACCAGTCACTGCCTACCTCCCCCGCCAGCTCAACTGCTCGCTGCCTCCCTCTCCACGTAAGGGGCGGTGACATGCCGAGCAGTAGCTCATTCACCGCTCGTTCAAGGGGTTCTGAGTTCGAATCCGGAGGGTCGACCTTGTTAATACTGCGGGTGTCATCATCCTCATCATCCGTAGCATTATTACCCACAGCATCATCACCCACAGCATCATTAACCATTGCGCCGTCACCTATTGCGTCGTCACCCACAGTGACTTCCCTGGTTAATGCTGCGTGGTGTGTTAACCCTACTGCACTCCACACTGTCTGCTTCACACATTAACAATCACGTGATATTCAATGAAGAGTAGGCTATTGTGTGCCTATGTCGTGATCCAAATTTAGAAAATCACTTGCAAAGTTAATTATTGATTAATTTATATAACGCTTAGAAATTTTCTCGAAATTGAGCGAGGCTTTCCTGGGTGAACATCTGGAATGATGCGGTATTTGAAAATTACCTTTGTTTACCCAGGAAATCCTCAAGATAATTTTCAGGAGGGTCCTGCCGAGTGATTGGCAGCAGTAGGGGGCAATGCTACTGCTGTGTGCAATCTCAATTGAGTAACTTGTCGCTATTTTCACACAATTGGGATGCCTCTGTTCCCTTCCCCTATCCAATTGTCGGTTCTCCCCAGAATCACTACGGCTCTCTGGATGGCGGCCACTACACGGCGTACACGCACAACACGGTCCGCGACAGCTGGTTCAAGTTCGATGACCACGAGGTGGAGTTCATCTACCCCAAGAACGTGTCGACCTCCGCAGGATACATCCTTTTCTACTCAGCCCTCCCACAACAACCCCCCCGCATGGACATATTCTAGCCACATGGCTAGCCACACGGCTAGCCACACGACTAGTTGATCTTATCGGCCGGCTAGGTGCTCACCTTGTCAATTCACCAGCTGGTCTTTTTAATCATCCACCTATTCTTACTCGCAGCCAGTCGATGTGTTTAGCTATTTGAGTAGCCACTCTCTTAGCCAAGCAGTAATCAATACGGTTAAGTAGGCACCTAGTAAGCTAGACAGAAATAAGGTGGAATGTGTAACTTGCAAGTCCGTCAGGTATTTAGTAGCAAGCTGAACGGTTAACCGGCTGGTCAGCCAGTGGATATGCCTGTGGGCCAACAAATTACCTGAGCAGCTGGCTAGTTGGGGGCCACAGCCATGCAGGGTTGAACCCAGGGCCTAATTTCATCTGGATCTTGTACCAGGTCAGTGACCTGTAAAATAATTATGCACCCAGCACACCACATCCGGTATGGCTTATCGCTATGGCTGTGGCTACTACTGCTGATCTCATGCCACCCTCTCCAGTCTGCCAGAGGACTCGGAAAATCTTCAGTGACAAATGATGCCGTGGAGCAGTCCACGTGGGGACACGGTATTCTACGGTCAAGAGACCATGGCCTCGCACAGCGGACGATTGTTCGCTGATGCCGTGTGTTGGGTGAGCTGCGTTATGGCTTTTGATGAAGAGGAAGCGTGCACTTTCAGCTCCGCGCGGCGACGCTGCGGCAGGCCCTGCACCGTGACACTGGTGGAGTCGAGGTCCTGCCGCTCTCCGTGGGTGTTGCTTGTGTGGAGGAGAAGCAGGTGAGGGATTGGAGTCACGTCCGAGGTGATCTTCAGAGACGGCTGGAGCTCGCGGTCTTTTCCTATATTAAGTTTTGGCCCCCACGTAACCCATTTCGGCCGGTGGTGGCACAGTGGTGACATTTGCACCTTACAGGAAGGAGAGCCTGGGTTCAATTCCTGAATCGGGGGCCTTTCTGTGTGGAGTTTGTACTCTCCTTGTTCTGCATGGGTTTCCTCTGAAATGTTTGGTTTCCTATAGATAAAAATAAACCACACATTACTCAATTGAGATCTCACACACAGCAGCAACATCACAGCCTCCTGCACAAACTTGGCAGGACCCTCCTGAATAAAGAGTCTTGAAACTGAGGCTTTCCTGCGTAAACAAGCGTAGTCATAAAATTCGTTCATTCCAAAAAGAAGCTTCTCGTCAAGAAAATGTTTTCCCTATGATTCGATGCCGGCACCCGGGTTGAATGTTCGCACAGTTTATTATGCGGGTGTCGACACTAAGAGAAACGTGGTTCATGTCGAAGAGAATATTCTGTATCCTTGCATCTCTGCGCTCGTGTTGGATCAACAATGGTGAGGTATTGAGGTGTATATATGGTGGTGACGTGGACCGTTTCTGTCGATTCTGTTCATCATTGGAGCTTTTATCTTCGGCTGCTGGCGGAGGTTGGAGGTTGGCGCCGTGCGTTTGCCGGCCGTCGTTCGTCCTGCCTTGCTTTAAATAAACGCGGCTGTCTCCTGGCTCCTGTATCCCTTGGTGCTGCTGTGCGGAGTGCTTGCCGTGGCCACCTCAGGTTGTGGGAGGTGCCGAGAGCCTCGCAGGACAACTTGCAGTGTCCCTGTGGCCTCTCGGGTCTCAGGTTTCACAATCGCCTCTCATGGAGGCTGTGGCTTCTTTGAGCCGCTCGCATTGGGTGGTGCAACAGGGCATCAATATTCACTAAATATCACTTGCAAATCATTCAATTGAGACCACAGCAGCCGCGGTGGTGGGATGTTAACTGTCTGGTATCCAGGAGGTCGTGAGTTAAATCACGACCCTGAGGCCATTATTGGAGTGTACATGTTCTCCATGATGTAGCGTCGATTTTTCTTTGGGTCCTCCGGTTTTAACCTCCACATTTAGAATCCTTTTGCGTTTCGAGTATTTGGCTGATATAAATGTTCACATAAGCCACTTGGTTGAACTGTCATTAGTGATAGCCAGGTCACTTCTGAAAAAGAGCCATATAGCTCAGTGGGCCTTACTTGGTAAAATAAAATAAAAATGAGTTTAGTTTAACATCGTGCCCTCTGCTGTAAAATGTGACGGGACCCTCCTGAACATATCCCCAAGTAGAGAAAACCAATAAGCGAGTTTCTATCGCTATGGCGTTCTGATCGATGAAGCCAACTCTCACGTCACCGCGTGCCGCACGGGATTCTACGTTCGTGTGCAATGAGCTCGACGGAACTCGTGCAGTCACTGGAGGCGCACAGAGGGCCCAGTTACTTCATTAGACCTCCTTTGCCAGTACCAAAATATAATATTAGGGTTTTTCCCCTTTTTTCTGACAACAAAACTGAAACCTTTTGACGAGGATTCATGTCTGCATTAACCACAATACCTGCAGTCAAAATGCAAACAAAAAACACTAATATAATATATGCATTGTCCTTGAAACTGATTTGTCCACACCAAGGGACGTCTTTCTTTTGAGCCTCGACCCAATTGGTGCTCGACCAGATGACGCCAAAAGGCGTCAGGTATTGTGGTTAATGCAGACATGAAGCCTTGTAAAAATGTTTCAGTTTTGTTGCCAGAAAAAAGGGGGAAAACCCTATTATTAGGTCCCAGTTACTTTAAACAGGCTGAAGATGCCCCCCACACACGTGCACACAGCCGATGCGTTATGGCAAAACCATCGGCAGTTCCTGATTAACTGTATCCTGGTTATTTTGCCATGGGTCACTGTCAAAATAAATCTGAGAGAATGTGGCCGTCTGACAGGAGCAGCAGCAGCGGTGGACAGCGGCTGCAGTGGAAATGCCCCTCGGGTTGTGATGAAAAGTGGCGCATGTTAATTGGACAACAACTGAAGCTTCCTGGGTCCCCTGAGTTCCGCGTCACCGTCGCGGCCCTTGGGCGTGACAGAGATGCGCCAAACCAGGACGCACATCTCATCACAGAGAGGGAGGGCCCTTGCCTTTGAACGTCTGACAGTTCACCCGCATTGGCCCAAGCGAGCCTGCCTCAGAATGTCGAAACCTGTCCAGAGTTTGTGTTGAACCAATCAATGGTTCATGCAATCCTGACTGCTGATGAGACTCTCAATGTCGAAACCGGTGCAGAGTGATGATGCACTCCCTGAAGGAAGTCCGCGTGGATGATGGGTGCGTAGTAAACACTTGTGCTGTACTGTATTGATCACGTAGAAGGGGCAGGTCGAGGAAGCAGGAGGCGAATCGCCTGTTTTTGACGTTGCTGCAGTTGAGGGGTTCGGGCAGCAGGGGTCGCCCTGGCCCCCCACAAGCCCCGCACCCAGGGCCTCACCATGGCCGGGTTTCCCGCGTCTTTACGGAGCCTTGGACCCCTGTGTGAGGCGGCCCTGGGGGGCCTCCCCCTGCCAGGGGGTCCCGAGTGCGGGGGCCCAGGTGGGGCCGCCCGGGTGCTGCTGCTGGGGTTGGAACTGGGGACCCCTGATAACCTGGGTCCCCTAGAATCGGGCACCGGGGAGCTGTGGGCCCCCGAGACGGGGACTCCTGGATCCCCCGGCCCCTTTGTGATCGCCCGGGTCGAGCTGGCACTGCTGGCCATGAGCGCGGTGCGGGGTCTGTGTGCGGGACTGCACGGCAGCCCGAGGGGACCCGGGGACCCTGACTCGAACTGGGATGTTCGGCCACAGCGACACGGGGTGCGCTGCACTGACCCAGGTGAGCGGGCGACTCACACGGAGCCTTTAGCGGGCTCTTGCCGAAGTCCTGTTAGGGAGTAGCATCTATGAAGGGCTGATGTGGCCATCACCATGCCCGGCCGCCTTTGTCTCCCAAATGCTGTTGTTCAATACACACCACACCAAGACCTATGCAGTACTCGTTTAAGGTTGAATCGACCTAAGTGGGGGGCAGCATCGTCCCACTGTCAGATATCATCGGATATCATATATGCTGTGTTGGTCGCGCTGCTGGGATTGTTATCGTCACCATTCCGCCTGGTTACCCAGGAAACTCAGTCTCGTGAATCTATCTCCTGTACACCAGGCGAGATGTTAATTCCCTCGCTTGATGTGCAGGAGGTCGTGGGTTCTATCCAGACCCTGACGCCTGTTGTGAGTCTGCGTGTCTCTTTCTCTCACCCCGTGGTCGCGTGGATTTTGCTCCGGGTCTTTCGGTTTCCCCCTCCACATTTAGAATCAACATCACGCGTTTAGAGTATTTGGCTGCTATGCATTTGCCACGTGATAAGCCACTTCGCTGAGCTATCATTTGTGGCCAGGTCGCTTCTAAAAATAGCTATATAACTCAGTGGGCCTTACCCGGTAAAATATACTGGCTTAACGCGCCATGTTTCGTTGCGTTTTGTGAAGGACTCTTGGTTATTTTGTGTTGTGAATTAGAGCTTTGCATCGAAATAGAACCCATATCTCAAAGAGAGAGACCGTGCCTGTAACATCTGGCAGTTGACCAGCAAGCAAAGCCCGACTCGGCTGATGAGACACTGAAGGTCGAAACTGGTCGAAAGTTTGCTTGTGTTGAACCAATGGTGCTTGGATTATGCACTCCCAGAAAGAGGGCGGTGTGGCTGATGGGATTTGTGAAATACTTGCATAGTTTATGTGTTCAGGATCACCTGCGCGTGTGGAGGACTCCCCTGGCCCGGCGCTCCAGGAGGGCTACCGATCCGTGCTGAGGGAGCTCCTGGGCACCACGGGAACCCTGGGCTCCCTGCTGGTGGGTACAGCTCCTGGAGCCCGTGCTGTGCCACTAACCCTGTTCCAATGTTACCCTGGTTACCGCAGGGATCCATATCTCACTAAATACATTGTGCCCCCCATACCTAGGATGCCCTCCTGTGCTCCCCTGAGGGTCTCCTGTCCCACGGCGCAGTGCAGGTCGCCACTGCGCTGTGCCTGCTCCTGGAGAGGGCGGAGGTGAGGTCGCACGGAACTACCGGGGTCACGGGTTCGTGGGGGTCACAGACGCGTGTGCGTGCCAACTCGGGGGAGAAGGCTGTGCCCCGATGGACGCCTGGACTCGTTAGAGAGTTAGCGGTCCCTCCGGCAATCGAAGGAGCCGTCGCCATCCAGAGTCACGGTTCGTATTGCCCTCATGTCGTCCGTGCCTCTCTGCATCTCGTTTGTCGAGTTTTGTCTGCACTGTGGGCATCAACGCGGGCGCGAGGCCGCTCAGTGGCTCGGCCAATTCGGAGAGATGGCACTTGCGTTTCAGGGTTCATGGATAGGGTAAACTACTTGGAGGTCAGGAATAGAGTAGGTTGTGAGGGGTGGGACCTCTTGACCTTGATTGCCCTCCTGTCATTTCTGTTTGCAGGTGCCGAGTTTTGAGACGGGCGCGTGGGTGAGCGAGTGGGTGAGCGCGTGCATGTCTCGGCTGACGGGGGCCCTGAGCAGGACCCAGCTGGCCGCCCTGGGGCAGGCCGAGGCGGCGTGGGCCCTGAGCGACCTTGTGAGCGCCCTCGCCCGGGAGGAGGCCTCCAGCGGCCGGACCTCAGGTCCGTGATTTTCGGATGCAGACCACACGTGGGGTTGTCCAGCATGAGCGATTTTGTATGGCCCAGCACTAAACACGATCAGCCTTCTCGGCCAAGGCGACAATGTCGCAAGAACTCACCTCTATTTTCGGATGACGCTGTGAGCTCCCATTGCCTGAAGGCAAATTAAAAATCTCCATGGTCATTGTGTCCAGAGGGCCTGGCGCATGTCCTGCGCTTTCTGGATCCCGTGTGGCCGACTCTCATGGACGAAGTCTTCACCCACGCCCCCCAAATACCATCGCCACCACAGCCGCCGCTGCTGCTGCTCGCGCTACTGGAGCTGCAGGACGCCCTTGTGCGCTCGGGGAGTCCAGGCGCCGCCGGTCGCTTTCCCTTCAGCTGCGACGGCGCCCGCTGCTTGCTGAGCTTTCTGGCACGGCCGGCCGCCCCCTACCCAGCCGTGCGCCGGCTCGCTGGCCATCTCAAGCGCTGGCTGGTGCGGAGCGCACGGCGGCGCGCTGACACCTCCTGCAACGCACACCCCACCGGCGCGCACCCCACCGGCGCACACCAGTGTGCAGATGCAGAGGGTGTGGTGTGCCTAGCATGGACCCTGGTGCACGCAGTGCACACGGGCTGGCTGCAGAGCATCCACATCCATCGTGCGGCATACCACCTCGGGGGCCAGGCCAGCTCCTCTCCACCCTGGGAGGAGAGTGCTGCCTCACAGTTACACCGGGAGGAGCAGCTGTGTATGGGAAGCTGCCACATCAGCTCTGACAGGTCGTCAGGAGTCCCGTCCTCGTACTTTGATTGGCCGGCCATTGACCTCGTGACTCTGCGGGGGGTGGTGCTGTCCGTATTAGTGGCGGCCGTGGTGTGTGCGGCCAACCTGGACTCTGGTAAGCTTGACCATTGACCTTTGACCCTCAACCCTTTACCACCACACTCAGCCGCAGGGTTCATAATGGCCTTGTCGCAGAGACTTAGCTCGCATCACCGAGACCATGAGGGTTGGTGGATCACACACAGATGTTGTGGAACTCCCCATGGGCGTCGAGGAGCTATTCCCTAGTTTGTCAGAAGGCGGTACAGCAAAATGTGGACTCCACTTATTCCATCTACATGGGATAGTCTCTTGCACAAGTGTTTTTTTTCTGGGTGTCCTTGTTTCTTCCCACATGTAAGCACTCAATTGGCCATTAACACCTTAATATATAGTGGACCGCATAGCTTGGAAGGGAGGAATTTGGCACCAGCTTACCATGTAATTGATGCCTTCCTCATTTTCTCATGCCTTGCGCCTCTGAGTATATGTGCATGTGTCTTTTCTAGGGAGCGGTAGTGTAACCTGGTGACTCGAGTTTGATTCCTGCTCACTGCCAACACCAGTGACGATTATCTTAACCGGTCCTGGGCCTCCGCTAGGTGGACTCAGCCTGAAATGAGTACCTGATGTGGTGTGTAAACCGTAACGAGGGAGACAAATGCGGCAGGGCTCGGTGTTGCCCACCCACCCTTTGTGTGCCGTGCCAGACTTCATAGGTGCTCGCTAACAGCACTTGCCCCAACAATCTGTTAAGGCTATAAGAGGGATCTTTTTCTTTGCCACTGGGGAGACGAAGGTGGCGCAGTGTTGGCCACACACCCCCTCGTGTATCGTGGCAGCTTTTATAGGTGCTTGCTAACAGCACTTGCCACAACATTGTGTAGGCTACACGGGCGGTCTTTGTCTGTGTGTGCTCAGTGGGCGTGCGCACATGCGTGGAGGCCGCCGCCCGTTTTGCGCTTGGGTTCCTCGATGGCCCCGTGGGCCCCCGCACCGACTCACAGCTGACCTCCCACCGGTGCCTGTGGCTCGTGACCCTGTTTGGAGACCAGGACGACGACCTGGTGGAGGCGGCCATGAGCCTCCTGCTGCTGCGACCCCACCTTGACCCGTGAGCTCCTCTCACCACTAACACCACCACCGGCACCAGCACCACCACCGGCACCAAGACCACCACCGGCACCAGCACCACCACCGGCACCACCGGCACCACCACTGCCAGCACTGCCACCACCGCCACGTGTGTATACGTGTGTATAGGTGTGTACGTTTCACTCTGAAATGCGTTGTCACACTTTAGCCCCCTCGCCGTTTGACCTCACAATTTGAGATGGTTTTTTTCCCGGTCCGGCTTATCTGGATTGGCAATCCGGACAATATATTTCCACTCCTGGCACACCACATCGAGTATGGTTGCCTGATATGACTGTCACTACTGCTAGTCACAAAACCCCGCCCCTGACCGCAGACCCGAATAATATTTAGTAGGAAATGCATCCAAGCTTCTGATGACGATGGTGATGTCTCATCTTGCTCTCCAGCGACGATGACGAGGACGATGGCGGCGGTGCTGCCATCCCGTGGAGTGAGCGCGTCGGCGTCGGCGCAACCTGCGCCTTCGTGAGCATCGTGCGCCACGCTTGCTTCAGCCCCGTGGTACTGCTCGACCTGCTCATCTCCAGCGAGACGCGCTTCCTGCAGCTGCTTGTACTGGTGTTGCGCCATGTGCGCGCCACGCCGCATGCCCTGGCACAGGCCTGCCTCACCGCCGACCTTGACGGCCACACAGGCCCTGCCGGCACCGCCTCCCCGCCCGCCGGGATTCACCGTGGCCAGGGTGACCAACGCAAACCACCGCCGCCACGGGGAGAGGAGCGGAGCCCCGAGCGGAGGAGCCAGAGACGGCATCAGAACAGTGTCTGCAAGCAAGGGGCGGTGGCAGAGGAACTCGGGAAGAAAAAGCAGCACCGGCTTGTCGACTACGAGTCCTCGGAGGACGACGCCGATGGCGGCGGCGATCGTCGGGATGAGCGTGAACGAGGGACGCACTGGGCGAGTGGTCCCGAGAGCCGGCATCTCTGCCTTCGTGACGAAAATGGTGCTCGTGTAAACGAGGATAACGATGAGAGTGACGATGAGAGTGATGATGACCATCTCAGTGATAGCGATGTCGATGACGGCGACGACAGTGATAACGATGACAATGAAAGCGATGCTGCCGAAGGTGTGCAAGACGACGACGCCGTGGCCGATCTAGACGAGGTAGATGACGATGTAAGCGGTAGCATGGTGGCGCCGGTGCCCACGCTGCTGTCCGTGCTCCGCTGCCTCTCGAGGCTGCAGCTCCGCGTACAGCGCCTGTGCCGGCGCCATCTCTTCCCGTATGACGCGCGACCACTGCTCAGGCTGCTGAGCCAGGCGCAGGCCTCCTGCGCAGGCCTCTGCTCCAGCTCAAGACCTTCCTCTTCTCCCCTGCCCGTGAATACCTCTAGCCCTCCCACAGACTCACACAGAGACCTGTAGACTCACAGAGACCCATAGAAACCTACGGCTGCTTGTCTAAAATAAACGTCCCCACTCGTTCTGTGCAGAGTCCTGAGATGCCATCGCATTTAGACACCGCTATGTAAGTCCTGGTTGTCGTGTACGGACGGAGCTGTGTGGTAGGGGCGGTGGAGTGCTCTTGCCTACAACAGCTGTCAACTGGGTGGCATCTGTTTAACAGGCATAACCCTGCTGAGGAGACCGAAAGTTGAAACCGATCCAGAATTTGCTGCCTAAACAAAATCCGCTAGAAGACATTGGTTCACGGGCCCAATGGGGCTAGTCTATCTTTACACAGCGAGACGGACTCTGGTCATTTACAGAGTGTATTGTAAGGGAGTCTTCGTGTGGCTCTGAGTGTCTGCCACATTCACCCCCTCCATTGCCAATTGCTGTCTCTCAGACATCAATTTTACCTTTTGAAACCTGGTGAGAACTCAAGGGACTGGGATTTATCTCATTTTTAAGAGTGAATAAGTGGGTAAACAATTGAGATGACCGAGTACAAGTTTCAAGTTTATTTTGAGATCAAGTCATTTGCAAGTAACCTGGGTCACCAAAGTGACAAAAACACAGAAATTCAAGAATTCATTGCTGATCTTCAATCTCCTGGTCACTTCGCAGCCCCAGTCCTACACCTGGAAACTCCAGGTGGCCACCCATTGCAGTCCTGAGCAGGCTCAAATCTGTTTAGCTTCCTACAGGTGAAGAAATCTGGCGCATTCACGGTGCTATTTGGTGAGATCTGATCCAAGGGGTTTCCATACTGCTCCACATCAGAAAAACCTGAACACAAAATGTTCATTCGTATCAGAGCACAATGGTTGACTGTCACATCACAAACATGGGCAGTGGTGCAAATAACAATAAATGCAACATTCGTCAATAACAGACTGAAAACTAATTTCTTTATAACGTATTTTTAAGTTTAGTTTGTCCATCCCCCGCACCCTGATTAGCAGTTAGCTACATACGGTACGAAAGAAGTTCAACACATACATAAACGGGAAAAATATGAGGCTACATTTCTGGCAATGGCCCATCAGAGGACTGCAGAGATCGGGGGTCGAATTTGGCACTGGCTCCTCACCACAGCATGGCGAGATGTTCAGTACCTCACCTGGTATGTAGAGCGTGGGTCCGATCCCAACCCCGATGCCTGTATATTTGGAGTTTGCATGTTTTCCCCGTGGTTACGTGGATTTTCTCCAGGTTCTCCAGTTTTTCCCTCCACATTTAGTAAGATGCGTCGCAAAGCTTTTGTGTGCTATAAATTTCCACATAAGCCACTTCGTAGAGCTATCATTTGTGGCAAGGTCGCTTCTGAAAGAGAGCAATATAGCTCAGTGGGCCTTACCTGGTAAAATAAAAGTTTAGTTTACTGCCTCCCGCTCGTCTGTGGTTCTGCCTCGAGCTTCTGAGTGGTCCTCTCTCCGAGAGTGAGCAAATACCATGCGGTGGTTTCACGTTACAAGCTGACATTAAGGCCATTATATTGTTCACGGTGATTCAAGCCATCAAATCAAACCCACCGAGGCGTGCAGACGTTCACCACCTCCTGAACCCAGGTCTTGGGACCTGTTTCCAGACCGTGCGTAAAGTCAAACATCACAAACTGGGACACGCAGTAAACTCCTTAAACAGCATTAATCAACATTAATCAACAGAGCTCTATTTACACATCGAGCTTGGTAATCGTGCCACAAAACCCAACACGCTGTTGTATAAACATCGAGTTGTTGCACGGAGTTGCAAGTTATTTCGGTTGCGTGCTTTCAGATGCGCTTCTGCGGCCATCTAGAACGCTCCTTCCAATATTAGCAATTCACTAGAGCACTTTTAAATCGAGATTTAAAACTAATTTCTTTAGAACTGCTTTTTGTATTTAGCTTGTCCTTCCCCCGCACCTCCGATTAGCACGGTTGGCTATTCTGACAAATCGCCCGATGATGCTGGATGTAATTACCAGCGAAATGTCGTACTAAAATTGTAAATGTTGTGGATTTACTATCCAACACACCAGTGGGCTGAAGTAGTAACTAATTGGCGTTTTGTTTACGTGACAAATCCCTTACTAATTGGCTGTGTCTGGTGGTGGAGCGTTACGACAGATTTATACTTACGCGATCTAACCCATAAACCTTTATTATGAATAATATTGGTCGCGAAAGCCTGCGTGTTAAATGGTTGGTTAAGCAAAATCTTATTTGGTTCTTTCGGTAAAGTCACGTAGACTGTGCTTGTATATTCACATATACAAGCACAGAGACAATTTCAACCGAGAAGATGGATTCTGGCTTAGTAACCATTGGAAAGATGTTTTAAACCATTTCGGTTCTTAATTAATTGTATTTTACGATCACCTTCAGACCACAGCTCTTTCGCTGGCATTGACTCTTAATACCTCTCACACCACGGTTAATGGTATGGCTTACAACATGGAGTATAACAGCGCCTCCCAGCTGTCTCTCTCCCTCCTCCGTTCCGACCATGGATGGATGAACTCGTCCGTCTGAACGGGACTCGTAGCTATCCGTGGTGCTAAAGTTGAGGGTAAGAATACACTCATTGTTTCGCCATATAGCATTGTGATATATAACGACTTATTGTTGGTAGCTTAGCTGATTGGAGAATATATAGAGTGTATTGATAACATTGAGGTAGTTTATATTTTTGTTTTTTATTGGTTTACTATATGGTATTCATATAGTGTAGTGTACACCCAGTTACTGTTAATAGCTGTTACATAGCTGTTACAACGCTGTGGGTGATCACGATATAGTTTTCTCCGATACCAAGGTTCTCTGCAAACCCACGGGTTTTTTATTATCAGAGATTTGTCCACGAGGCAATTCAGATTTACAAACACAGACACAATTTCAACCGAGAGGATGGTTTCTAATTAAGCATTCATTGGAAAGATGTTCTAAATCAAACCAAACATTAAACTAATTTTCAATGGTACAGTATATTTTTTCAAGTAGTGGTATCCCAAACTTTCACAGCCACTTATTTACCTTCACACCAACATTATGTAAACTCCTTCCCCCCCACCGTGCCGGTCCGGTACATCATTTTATGCTAATTCCTTTGTCAAGGCGTTTTTTTGTTTCCTCCCACACAGCTTAAAGGGCTTGGCTGTCTCCACTCCAACGCTGTCCTCTGGACAGTCCAGTCGCTTCATCTGATGAAGGCCACTTGTGTTGTGGCCGAAACGTCGTGAGAATTTTATTGTGTTATTTTATTGTATTATTTTATTCCCATTCTACGTGACTTTACCGAAAGAACCAAAGAAGATGAATCCTTGCAGTCACGAAAGCTTTAAATCGAAATTTAAGCAAAATAAGTTAAACATACACACAGACAGAGGGAGAGGCGATTCACAATTTCATCCAAAGCCATGAACTCGTCGTCAGTCCGTGGCCATCAGAAATGACAAACCGTGTGCTCAATGGCCAAGTGGCCACCGCCGGCTGGCAATTTAAGCAGTGAAGAAGTAAACAGCGGGAAGAAGGTACGTTTATAGGAGCGCGACAGAGAAACACAGAAAGAACGAAGCGTGAGAGCTCTAGAAGAGAGGAAACTCCCATGGAGGGACTGTAGCAAACAGCAGCAGCAGCGTTCCCACAACTCTGGGACCCGTGCCAGGCGCTGTCGAGTTGCGTGGCTCTGAGCCTGCGATGAGGGAGGCGAGGGGGGATTTGAGCCCTCGCCACCAGGAAACGGCCAGGCTGTGCCAGGTCCGGAGCAGTGCCGATGGATGGCCTCACATGAGTAAGCCTCTCATCACGCGGCCACGACTGACGAGGTGCACAGTCAGCGACACTCACTCTGGCTGGCGTCCATGCAGGGGGGGGGGGGTATCAGCAGAGAAATGCAAATAACTCATCTTGTCCACGAGGTTGATCAAAGCTATTCCCCCATACTCCTGAAATAAATTACTTCAACGAATATTTGTACTGTACATGAGCTTCTCGAGAGGGTGGGGGCGGGACTGATGAGAGTTGATGAGTGAAGAGGTGAGCTCGCTTTCGTTCCCTCGTCATCAGCCATGATTTATCCGCTGTTGGATGAAGGCCTCCTCAAGCCAGCGTTATCTGTTGCTGAGCTGATTTCATCGCTCTATCTCAGCGGTAGACGTCTCCTGCCTACACCCGAGTAGGGCATATTCCGAAACGTCGCCTGATGTACTGTACCGGTGTACTCTCACTTTTGTTTTCTTCACGTGCGCGTATACAAGTGCGCATTACACCGACACACGTGTCTCTGTAACGCGAGTCCTGGCCACGTGTGCCCTGCACAGACACGCGAGTGCCCTGCACAGACACGCGAGTGCTGTACTGTTTGCTCCCACATCTTTACTGCCCACCGACACTGACCACAGTGGTGGGCTAAGGTCAAATAACCCAGTGGCGTGGAGAGGCCCTCATCCAGCAGTGGATATTGTACATCATTGTGAGTTGCTTGAAGGCGCAGTGACACGATGCGAACTCGTACCGGTAAAATGCGGGGCAGCCCCCCCCCTTCCGCCACCTCATCCTCCTCCCTGCTCTCTGAGCCTTTACTTTTCACGTTATTATTCACCTCCTTCCTCTGACTCACCTTACTCTTCTTATTTTAGCTAACCTCTTTCCACTCCGCTCTCTAAGCTCATCTTCCCACCTCGTCCCACACCTCGTCCCACACCTCTCCCACCTCGTCTCTCTCCCCTCTCCCACCTCGTCTCTCCCACCTCGTCTCTCTCACCTCTCCCACCTCGTCTCTCTCACCTCGTCTCTCTCACCTCTCCCACCTCGTCTCTCTCACCTCTCCCACCTCGTCTCTCGCACCTCTCCCACCTCGTCTCTCGCACCTCTCCCACCTCGTCTCTCTCACCTCTCCAATACAGGTCAGGACCGGTTTGGGTCACGTGCCGCTCTCCCAAACATGTTCCGGGCCGACCCTGGAAGCGGACGTGACGTCAAGGAGTCAACGCGATATATCGCGATACCACAATGCTCGGCGGTACGACCCACGATATATCGCGATACCACAATGCTCGGCGATACGACCCACGATATATCGCGATACCACAATGCACGGCGATACGATCCACGATATATCGCGATACTACAATGCACGGCGATATGATTCTGCTACTGATGGGGCTGATGATGTTGGTGATGATACTGCTACTGTTGATGATGTTGGTGATGATAGTGCTACTGTTGATGATGATGTTGGTGATGATACTGCTACTGTTGATGATTATGTTGGTGGTAGTGCTACTGTTGATGATGATGATGTTGGTGGTAGTGCTACTGTTGATGATGATGTTGATGATGATGTTGGTGGTAGTGCTACTGTTGATGATGTTGTTGATGATGATGTTGGTGGTAGTGCTACTGTTGATGATGATGTTGGTGGTAGTGCTACTGTTTATGATGTTGTTGATGATGATGTTGGTGGTAGTGCTACTGTTGATGATGTTATTGATGATGATGTTGGTGGTAGTGCTACTGTTGATGATGATGATGTTGGTGGTAGTGCTACTGATGATGATGATGATGGTGTTGATGATGATATTGGTGGTAGTGCTACTGTTGATGATGATGATGTTGGTGGTAGTGCTACTGATGATGATGTTGTTGATGATGATGTTGGTGGTAGTGCTACTGTTGATGATGATGTTGGTGGTAGTGCTACTGTTGATGATGATGTTGATTATGGTGGTAGTGCTACTGTTGATGATGATGTTGTTGATGATGATGTTGGTGATGATACTGCTACTGTTGATGATGTTGATGATGGTGGTAGTGCTACTGTTGATGATGATGTTGATGATGATGTTGGTGGTAGTTCTACTGTTGATGATGTTGGTGGTAGTGCTACTGTTGATGATGATGTTGATGATGATGTTGGTGGTAGTGCTACTGTTGATGTTGTTGATGATGTTGGTGGTAGTGCTACTGTTGATGATGATGATGTTGGTGGTAGTGCTACTGTTGATGACGATGATGTTGGTGGTAGTGCTACTGATGATGATGTTGTTGATGATGATGTTGGTGGTAGTGCTACTGTTGATGATGATGATGTTGGTGGTAGTGCTACTGTTGATGATGATGTTGGTGGTAGTGCTACTGTTGATGATGATGTTGATGATGGTGGTAGTGCTACTGTTGATGATGATGTTGTTGATGATGATGTTGGTGATGATACTGCTACTGTTGATGATTATGTTGGTGGTAGTGCTACTGTTGATGATGATGTTGATGATGTTGGTGGTAGTGCTACTGTTGATGATGTTGGTGGTAGTGCTACTGTTGATGATGATGTTGATGATGATGTTGGTGGTAGTGCTACTGTTGATGATGTTGTTGATGATGATGTTTGTGGTAGTGCTACTGTTGATGATGATGTTGATGATGATGTTGGTGGTAGTGCTACTGTTGATGTTGTTGATGATGTTGGTGGTAGTGCTACTGTTGATGACGATTATGTTGGTGGTAGTGCTACTGATGATGTTGTTGATGATGATGTTGGTGGTAGTGCTACTGTTGATGATGATGTTGATGATGTTGGTGGTAATGCTACTGTTGATGATGATGTTGATGATGGTGGTAGTGCTACTGTTGATGATGATGTTGTTGATGATGATGTTGGTGGGAGTGCTACTGTTGATGATGATGTTGGTGGTAGTGCTACTGTTGATGATGATGTTGGTGGTAGTGCTACTGTTGATGATGATGTTGGTGGTAGTGCTACTGTTGATGATGATGTTGGTGGTAATGCTACTGTTGATGATGATGTTGATGATGGTGGTAGTGCTACTGTTGATGATGATGTTGTTGATGATGATGTTGGTGGTAGTGCTACTGTTGATGATGATGTTGGTGGTAGTGCTACTGTTGATGATGATGTTGGTGGTAGTGCTACTGTTGATGATGGTGGTAGTGCTACTGTTTATGATGTTGATGATGATGATGTTGGTGGTAGTGCTACTGTTGATGATGTTGGTGGTAGTGCTACTGTTGATGATGATGTTGATGATGGTGGTAGTGCTACTGTTGATGATGATGTTGTTGATGATGATATTGGTGATGATACTGCTACTGTTGATGATGTTGGTGGTAGTGCTACTGTTGATGATGATGTTGGTGGTAGTGCTACTGTTGATGATGTTGGTGGTAGTGCTACTGTTGATGATGATGTTGGTGGTAGTGCTTCTGTTGGTGGTAGTGCTACTGCTGATGATGATGATGTTGGTGGTAGTGCTACTACTCATGATGATGATGTTGGTGGTAGTGCTACTGCTGATGATGATGTTGGTGGTAGTGCTACTGTTGATGATGATGATGATGTTGGTGGTAGTGCTACTGCTGATAATGATGTTGGTGGTAGTGCTACTGCTGATGATGATGTTGGTGGTAGTACTACTGCTGATGATGATGTTGGTGGTAGTGCTACTGCTGATGATGATGTTGGTGGTAGTGCTACTGTTGATGATGATGTTGGTGGTGGTAGTGCTACTGTTGATGATGATGTTGGTGGTAGTGCTACTGTTGATGATGATGATGTTGGTGGTAGTGCTACTGTTGATGATGATGGTAGTGCTACAGCTGATGATGATGTTGGTGGTAGTGCTACTGTTGATGATGATGATGTTGGTGGTAGTGCTACTGCTGATGATGATGATGTTGGTGGTAGTGCTACTGCTGATGATGATGTTGGTGGTAGTGCTACTGTTGATGATGATGTTGTTGGTGGTAGTGCTACTGATGATGTTGGTGGTAGTACTACTGCTGCTGATGATGTTGGTGGTAGTGCTACTGCTGATGATGATGTTGTTGGTGGTAGTACTACTGCTGCTGATGATGTTGTTGGTGGTAGTGCTACTGCTGATGTTGGTGGTAGTGCTACTGCTGATGATGATGTTGTTGGTGGTAGTGCTACTGCTGATGATGTTGTTGGTGGTAGTGCTACTGCTGATGATGATGTTGGTGGTAGTGCTACTGCTGATGATGATGTTGTTGGTGGTAGTGCTACTGCTGCTGATGATGTTGTTGGTGGTAGTGCTACTGCTGATGATGATGTTGGTGGTAGTGCTACTGCTGATGATGATGTTGTTGGTGGTAGTGCTACTGCTGATGATGATGTTGTTGGTGGTAGTGCTACTGCTGATGATGATGTTGGTGGTAGTGCTACTGCTGATGATGATGTTGTTGGTGGTAGTGCTACTGCTGATGATGATGTTGTTGGTGGTAGTGCTACTGTTGATGATGTTGGTGGTAGTGCTACTGTTGATGATGATGTTGATGATGGTGGTAGTGCTACTGTTGATGATGATGTTGTTGATGATGATATTGGTGATGATACTGCTACTGTTGATGATGTTGGTGGTAGTGCTACTGTTGATGATGATGTTGGTGGTAGTGCTACTGTTGATGATGTTGGTGGTAGTGCTACTGTTGATGATGATGTTGGTGGTAGTGCTTCTGTTGGTGGTAGTGCTACTGCTGATGATGATGATGTTGGTGGTAGTGCTACTACTCATGATGATGATGTTGGTGGTAGTGCTACTGCTGATGATGATGTTGGTGGTAGTGCTACTGTTGATGATGATGATGATGTTGGTGGTAGTGCTACTGCTGATAATGATGTTGGTGGTAGTGCTACTGCTGATGATGATGTTGGTGGTAGTACTACTGCTGATGATGATGTTGGTGGTAGTGCTACTGCTGATGATGATGTTGGTGGTAGTGCTACTGTTGATGATGATGTTGGTGGTGGTAGTGCTACTGTTGATGATGATGTTGGTGGTAGTGCTACTGTTGATGATGATGATGTTGGTGGTAGTGCTACTGTTGATGATGATGGTAGTGCTACAGCTGATGATGATGTTGGTGGTAGTGCTACTGTTGATGATGATGATGTTGGTGGTAGTGCTACTGCTGATGATGATGATGTTGGTGGTAGTGCTACTGCTGATGATGATGTTGGTGGTAGTGCTACTGTTGATGATGATGTTGTTGGTGGTAGTGCTACTGATGATGTTGGTGGTAGTACTACTGCTGCTGATGATGTTGGTGGTAGTGCTACTGCTGATGATGATGTTGTTGGTGGTAGTACTACTGCTGCTGATGATGTTGTTGGTGGTAGTGCTACTGCTGATGTTGGTGGTAGTGCTACTGCTGATGATGATGTTGTTGGTGGTAGTGCTACTGCTGATGATGTTGTTGGTGGTAGTGCTACTGCTGATGATGATGTTGGTGGTAGTGCTACTGCTGATGATGATGTTGTTGGTGGTAGTGCTACTGCTGCTGATGATGTTGTTGGTGGTAGTGCTACTGCTGATGATGATGTTGGTGGTAGTGCTACTGCTGATGATGATGTTGTTGGTGGTAGTGCTACTGCTGATGATGATGTTGTTGGTGGTAGTGCTACTGCTGATGATGATGTTGGTGGAAGTGCTACAGCTGGGCACGTGGCGGGCGAGGCGCGGGAGTCGCGCGCCGACGGAGTCGCCCGCCCAGGCGGTGACGTCACGGCCCAGGGCGGCGTGCCGAGAGTCGATCGCGCGGAGTCTGGGCCCGGCTCACCTCCTCGCCTCTCACCTCTCACCTCGTCCCCCGGCTCTTCCCACCTCGCGTCTCGTCCCTCGTCTCCCACCTTGTATCTCCCCTCCATTACACCCCCCCTCCCCACCTGGCGCCCACTGTTCCCCTACCCTAAACTCCCCCTCGCCTCCCACCCCGTGACTGCCGACCTCTTCTCCCATCTCCCACGTGATCTGCCGTTTCTCCTCGACTCCCTCATCTCAGATCCCCTTCCACGCGGCCACCACCCATTTCATCTCCTCGTCTTAACTCCTCGTCTCCCACCGTCACCCCCTGCCCACCTTCCCCTCTCGGGGTCCCCGGGGCACAGGTCCGGGGGGGTTGACCACTCCGAGGGGACCCAGGGGACCCCCCCCCCCCCCCCGGGGGCCGTGACTGCACTGTGAACTCCTGTGAAGGACGAGGGATAAGAGGTGGCGGTGGTGAAGGCGGAAGAGGTGACTCTCTGCTGAAGAGGAGGTGGAAGAGGTGACCCGCGAGGACCCTTGAGGAAGGTGGAGAAGGAGGTGTAGGAGCGATGAGGCTGCGCAAGTTGGTGGTCGTGTGCTTCGGCGCCACGTTCTGCGTGGCCGTCTTCTCGCTCTACCTCATGCTCGACCGGGTACACTTCGACCGCACCAAGAGCGGGGACCCCGCCAAGGTGAGGGCGGTGAGGCGAGGGGTAAGGAGACACAGGAGTCGTCTTTGTGACTGGGGGTGAGGTCAGAAGTTCGTGGCGATGGGGTCCTCGTGAGGAGTCACGGCGATTCGGGTGACGAGAAGGGTCGCAAGGAGAGGGGTGAGGAATGGTGAGTGAGGGGTCGTGCTCGAGGGGGTCCATTCTGGGATTCATTTCCCGCGTCCTCCGTGTTCTGCGGGACCCTGGTTTAACCGAGCAGGTGGCACGTGTGATGAGGGGGAGGTGTGATGAGGTTGGTGGTGTTATGAGGGGAAGGGAGATGAGGGAAGGTGTGATGAGGTGTGACGAGGGGAAGGTTGATGAGAGGAGTTGTGATGAGGGGGAGGTTGATGAAGGGGGCTGTGATGAGGAGGTGTGATGAGGGGAGGTGTGATGGGGGGGGGGGTGTGATGAGGGAAAGGCGTGATGAGGGGGATGTTGATGATGAGGTTGATGGGGGGGGCTATGATGAGGGGGAGGTGTGATGAGGGGAGGGAGATGAGGTGTGATGAGGGGAGGTGTGATGGGTGGGTGTGGTAAAGGTCAGTGTGTCACTGCGCGAGTTCCCACGCCTCGCTTGCTGTGGTTCAGGGTGACTGTTTAATTGGCGCGGCTGCCCAAGGTCTCTCTTCACGTGGCGCCAGGCCGCTCACCTGCTCCTTCAGGTTCAGCAGGTACCCGCTTGGCCAGTGGGAGGGAGGAGCGGTCGCTTCTCCCCACGCGGTGGCTGAATCTCATGACTTGGCCCATCCTCCCTCCCTCCGGGGTTCATAAAATATCACTCACCACTTTGTTGGGAAGTAGTTGTCCAGTAGTTCTCCAACGGACACACCCACCAAAGGAACGTGGCATGGCCACCACTGGGTCTACAGGGCTGTAAATGAGCAGCGATGCCTCGATGATCATTTTAGCAGGAAATTGTTCCTCAGTTTACAGAGACCAAGATCCCACGCAAAGCGTTTACAGACTCAAGTAGACAAGCCGCTGCTTCCTTCACATACCTGTCGCTAAACATGTTTGTTACTATTCCTGTTTTACCAGGGTAGGGCCCACTAAACTATGTAGCTCTTTTTCAGAAGTGACCTGGTCAAATAATAGCTCAACAAAGTGGCTTTTCACGTGGAAGTGTATAGCAGCCAAATACTTAAAATGCATGTTTTTAAATGTGGGGGGAAAAACCGGAGGACCCGGAGTAAAATCCACGGGGAGAACATACAAACTTCAAATATGCAGGTGTCAGGGTCGGTATCGAAAGCACGACCTCCTGCGCATACCAGGTGAGGTAGTTAACATGTCGCCACCACGGCTGCCTAAATTATGCAACTTTTTTTATACATCCCATCAGCCACATGGTCTTCCATCTGGGAGTACAGAATCCCAGTAGAATTGGTTCAACGCAAACAAAACTCTGGAACAATTTCGACAATCAGTGTCTCATCAGCAGTCAGGCTTGTTGGAACCAATGCTGGTGAACTGCCAGATGTTACAGGCAAGGCCTCTCTGCGAGATATGGGTCCTATTTGGACACAGCTCAATACGCTATACAACGCAACATGGTCGTGGAAAATGTAAACGCCAAGCAGAGTGTGGTGTTTGGTGATTAAATTAGCAGCCAATAATTATGTGATGATATCCTGCCTCGATTCTTGTCGCCTATTGACTTCGAGAGACTGGTTCATGCTTTTTTGTTCTCCTGACTTGATTACTGTTCGGGATTCTGAGGAAGGTGCTCAGTAGATTCCAGCTTGTTCAGAATGCAGCTGCTGGAGTGCTTACAAACACACCGTTTCGCGAGCACATCACACCTGCTCTCTTGTCTTTGCACTGGTTACCAGTCAAGTATCGAGTGGTCTATAAGACGACTCTGCTGCTGATCTGCAAGGCTCTCAGTGGGTTAGCCCCACAATATTTGTGAACTGATTCGTGTTTACACTCCAACGAGGTCCCTGAGACCTTCAGATGGCCTTCTTCTAAGTACTCCGAGGTCAAGGCTCATTTACTGGGGTGAACAAACTTTTGTCATATTCTTGATTCTTTTGGTAAAGACACGTAGAAGGGAAATTATAAAATTATAAAAATAAAATCAGGTGATGATTGCTTGTTTTGCAATCGAAACGTCACGAGAATTTTATTGTTTTATTATTTATTATTTCCCTTCTACGTGACTTTACCGAAAGAACCAATAATATGAATCCCTGCAGTCACGAAAGCTTTAAATCGAAATTTAAACTTTTGTCATTGCAGCTCCAAGATTATGGGCACTTTGCCTTTGGAAATAATGCACTCAGAGTAGTCGGCCTTCACCCCCTAGTTCTGGCTGTGTACCCTGCAGGTCATGTTAATCTCCTGCTTACCATACACGGGGCGCATTGGGATCTATGGATGAAATGCGCCTTACAGATGTAGATTATTATTACGAGCGAGTTATGTCACGTGCCTCTGCAAGTGGAATTATCATCACCCGAGGTCTAGTGGCTGGAGTCCAGGATTACTTCCCACCCCCTCGCCCCAGCACTTCTTTCCCATCCCCATGGCCTCCCACTATGGGCTGGGACCCCCACTGTGGGATGCGCCCCTAGGTCTTGGCCGTGAGGTTGGGGTGAGTTGAGGAGGGCCCCTTCCCTCTCCCATGGAGTTGAGGTAATTGGAGTGGTTAAAACTGGTTTACTTTATCGAGCTACTTTTAACCCTACGAAAAAACAGTTAAAATTGGCTAGGCATTCAGCTTGTAACTTAGAAACGAGGGCGAGTGAACAACGGCAGTGATTTAGGCCGGTGTGCGGCTTGTACGTTTGCGTGAGTCATTTTATGCGTTTGTTACTGGAACCAGTGACGGCAATCCATCACTGGTTCCAGATCTTGGAAACCGGTAACTGATTCTGAAACTGGTTACGGATTTCCGGTCTTTGGTGAATACCCACTCGGGATGGGTAGCTTAAGGTTCAGTGAACGTCGCCTCACCTGAGGTCAGAGTTAACGCCTCACAGGTGCGCGTTTCACATACCTGGCTGTGTGTGTTTCTTTTTTTATTGTGTGAACATGTGTGCTTGTGAGGCAAACACGGAGAGAAGACAGTTGCTTGTGTAGCGATCGAAACGTCGTGATCTATTATTATTTTTCTACCTACGTGACTTTACCGAAAGAACCAAAGAGTATAGTGTGAGAGAGACCAACACGGAGAGGGAACACAAGGAAAACAGACAGAATGATGGAGATTAACACGGAGAGAAAGAACACGAGATACAAACAGAGAGAACAAGAGAGACACACGGAAAGAGAGAACAAGAGACACACACAGAGAGCGAGAGAGACGTGGATATAGGGAGGTAGTGCCACACGGGGCTCCGGTGCTCTGCGAGCGGCATGCTCTGGGTGGCGCCGGAGGCTGCAAGAATCTGGCAGAGATTTCACCGTTGAGGCGAATCAAAAACCGTGTTCGACTCCGTTGACATTCGTTCACCCGTTCACCCTTGTGTAAACGATCAACACCCCTCGTGCAGGGCCTCTTGCCCCCTGTGCCCATGCCCTCGGTACTGCTGTGTGTTTACCAGTTTCTAATCCCTGGTTTGAAGTCACTGGGGTAGTCATCTGTGTCTTCACTTCTCCATCTCTCCGGATTTACTCGGCTCTGACCCGTGCACTTAAGTCACCAGTAAACTATCCGTGCCTATTCCTCCATCTCTCTGGGTTTGCCAATCACTGAACCAGACGGCCTTTAAGAGTTACATCCTGGGGTGGTGACACGACCTAATGGCATCTCTTTTGCCACTTTTTGCAGAGGTCCATGGTTCGAATCTGGTGGGTAGTCCCAGTTAATATCGCTGGTGTAATCGTCTATCATCAATAACACGTGGCTCAGTAGTCAAGTGGGCTGCTTGCAATCACTCCCTCTCTCTGGCCTTTTAATCTATGCGCTATGAAGAAGAGCCATTTCCCGAAACATCACCGACATGTATACCCCTAGTTTTAAAATTTGGATGGCAGGGTGGCGGCACTGTGATAGCACTCACCGCAAGAAGGACCTGGGTTCGATTCCTGAATTGGGCGCCTTTCTGTATGGAGTTTGTATGTTCTCCGGGTTCCTCCCATGCCAAAAAAAAAAGACAAATAATTTAACCGGTATTGGTCAAATATCCAATGCTAAAACATTATCTAAAATTGATTACATTGGAATCACACATGGCAGCAACATCATCCCCCTACTACTGCGATAATTTGGCAGGACCCTCCTGAAAAAAAAGTCTTAAGGCTTTCTTGGTTCTGCACAGGTCAAACTTTTTGACCTGAGACCCAACCCAACCTGACCCGCGATGACTTGACCCACCTTGCTTTCATTAGAACTGCGACCCACCAGACACGACCTGCCTTCATTAGACCAACGACCCAATCTGACACACCTCCAGTAACTATAAATGGTCTCGGCTCCTAAATAGGAATTCTGTAAAACACGTAACCCACACGTGGTTCACGTTATGCGCCCTACTGATCGTGCACCGTGGCCATTGTTATGGAGCCACGAGTCCACACACAGTTTGTGTAATGAGAGGAAAGAGTGGAAATATTTCACATTGTGTGAATCGTAGTGCCTTCCCGTGTCTCGGGACAAACACGGAAATAGAGGAGTCGTGGCACTCAATAAAAAATAATGATGGTGGTAGTTCATGGCGGGCGACCTATGGTGAACATGACCCGACCCGCCCCCGACCCACAAGCCATAAAAACAACTCTGCTCCAACCCGAAACCAAGTGGCCCTGTGGGCACCCGACCCAATACGGCACTCCACAGTGAGGCATTCCCGGGTAATAAAGCGGAATTACAATAATAATTATAATAATCGTAATTGGATGGATTCGCTGGGTGTGTGTGGGGGGGTCTGTGGGCGGTATATGTGGGCTGCGCTGGCATCGGCTCCTGCGTCGTCCTAACGGTCCGTTACCCCGGCCGACAGGGCCCCTTGCTGGAGCTCCATCAGCGTCTGAAGCAGCTGGAGCAGCTGCTAGAAGACAACCACCAGATGATCGGCCACCTGCGTGACTCGGTGCAGGCGCTGGGCGGCTCGGGGCCCGGGCGGCTTAGCGGCGACGTCGATCTGGGAGGAGGCGGCGGCGGTGGCTCGAACCAGGGAACCGACAGTGGTGGCCTCTACCCGTGGCGGCTCACCAACGGCACGTGGGTGCTGCCCCAAATGGTGGCCTGGGCGGCGCAGGGTCCTGCAGGGCCGGCGGGTCCGGCAGAGGAGTGCCGGGAGCCGAGGGGGGACTCACCGGCAAAGGCCGACGTGAAGGTGAGAAGGCGGCGAGGGGACGTGTGGGCAGGACGCGTTGCAGCACAGGGTGAGTGTGTGGATGAGTCGGAGACTGTGTGAGGGTCGTCAGGGCACTGCACCATGAACTCTGCGACCTGAGTTTAATTACTGCTCACGACCAACAAGCAGGACTGCAGCCAGAACCTGCACTGCCAATAATTGCCCAAACTCTGTGGTCCTATACGTGTGTGTGCATTGCGCTCAGATGATGGACGTGTACGAGTTGCTGCCATTTGACAACCCTGACGGCGGTGCCTGGAAGCAGGGGTTTGACATCACTTATGAAGATGCGGCGTGGGAGTCCACTCCGCTGCAGATCTACGTGGTGCCGCACTCGCACAACGACCCAGGTGTGCGCACACACGCAGGTGTAACCGCACATGCGCAGGTGTAACCACACACACACGCACAGTAATAGTTACCAAATAAATTACAAAGATCCCCCATAGCCATTAAAAGACTGTTGGAGCAAGTGCTTTTAGCGAGCACCTATGAAGGTCGGTACGGCACACAAGGGGGTGTGTGGCCAGCACCACGCCTGGCTGCCTTGGTTTCCCCAGTGGTGATATTTACACTTCACACCAGGTACTAATTTGAGGCTGAGTCGACCTAGGGGAGGCCCAGGACCAGTTGAGATAATCGTCACCGGTGTTGGCTGCGAGCGGAATTTGAACTCAGGTCGCCGGGTTCATAGTGCAGCACGCTAATCGCTACACTACTGCATGTAACCATACACACAGGTGTCCCCAGAACAACACCAGCTGCCATTCCCGTGCGCATGTATGACCATGTAGGGAGCATTGGCGCAGTCGTTAGCATGCTGCACTATAAACCCAGTGACCCAAGTTCGAAACCCACTGGGCCAATAACAGTGACAAACAATATTTTAACTGGACCTGGTGCTCTCCTAGGTCGGCTTAGTCTCAAATGAGTACCTGGTGTGGTGTGTAAACATCAGTACTGGGGAGAAAAAAGTGGCCAAGTGGGGTGCTGGTCATCCACCCCCCTCGTGTGCCGTGCTGACCTTCATAGGTGCTTGTTAACAGCACTTTCCTTGACAGTCTGTTGAGGCCACACGGGGGGCTCTTTGTCTTTGCAGGCTGGATCAAGACGTTTGAGGGGTATTTTGTGGAGCAGACGAAGCGGATCCTGGACAATGCAATGGTGAAGTTGGCGGAGGACTCGCGCCGCCGCTTCATCTGGGCTGAGGTCTCCTATCTCGCCAAGTGGTGGGAGGGCGCAGATGCCGCACAACGCGCTACCGCCAAGCGGTGAGGCCGCCGCACTCACTGCATTCACCGCGTTTACCGGGTCACTACACTGACGGGGAGCACTGCACTTACCTCTCCGTACTCGCACGGAACATAGCACACACGGGGAACACCGCAGTCACCACACTTGTGGGCTAATACATTCCGCAATAATAACAAGGACGGCTCCTGCGATGATACTGTTGGTGATATTGATGACAACGCAGTAATAACCAGAGCATCCTGCCGGATTTGAACTGCTAACCTCCGCATCAAGCAGCGAACGCGCTGCCGCTGGGCCGCATCACCGCTCCCTCATCCTCCTCATTTCCTCCCCGTGCCCCCCGTGGCCCCCTATTTGCGTGAGCCCAGGCTGATCGACGGCGGGCAGCTGGAGATCGTGACCGGTGGCTGGGTCATGCCCGATGAGGCCAACGTCCACGTGTGGGCCATGCTGGACCAGATGCTGGAGGGCCACCAGTGGCTGGAGAGGCACTTGGGCGTGCGCCCACGCTCGGGCTGGGCCATCGACCCGTTCGGGCACAGCCCTACCAACGCGTACCTTCTCCGCGCTGCCGGCATCCAGAACATGCTCATCCAGAGGACTCACTACTCCGTCAAGAAGCACCTGGCTCACGAGCGTAGCCTCGAGTTCCACTGGCGCCAGAGCTGGGGTGAGTGGCAGCCAGACGCTGGTGTTAATCTTCACCACTCCTACACTTGTTTACCCAGGAGAAGCCTTGCCGAGTCCTGGGAATATTTTTCAGAAGCGTCTTGTCGAGTTTTTACAGTCAGGAGTGATGATTGCCGCTGCTACCGTGTGCTCCCAATTGAGTAATTTTTTGCGGCGTCATTATTAACAATGTGAAAATTTGGACCATGGCGCTGTCACGCAACGGCCTACTCTTGCGAATGGTGTCACGAGTTCTTTAATAGTCACAGTATTATTTTGCTAATTACGCACCACAGTATTAACCAGGGTGGCTGCTGACTTCGAACTGTGAAGTCTACAACAAGGAGCAAACCCGCTACCGCTGGTCCACATCACCTCACACGTGGCCTTTATTGCAGTTCCGTTGAGGAAGCAAGGGTTGGTGGATCACACACAGACGTGTGAAACTCCCTCCTGCCCATGAGAGTCAAGGTCGCCAACTCCTTGCTATGGCCAGGATACGATGCCAGTACAACAAGTGGGTTAATTATATCTGTACGGGAAATTAGTGTTACCCCCTCACACGGGTAGGTTTTCCCTGGGGACCCCGGCTTCATACCACGTGTATGAAGACTATAAATGGAGTTGACCAAATATCCAAATGTAGGGCCACAGAGCCTGGGCAATTACTGGTAACACCAATTTTGGCTGCCTTCCCAATTTCTGTTGTTTTCCATGCCTCTGAATCGTTCGATCTTTTAGAGTGAACGAAAACTGTGCGTATTACAAATGTTGTGTAATTTAGAGCGTCTGGGCTGGGGCATCAGTGGGCTAGAGTGACCAGGCATGAATTCCCCTGTATATTAAATTGAACTCTGAATCGTTATGTGCACACGTAAAGTCTCGGTTACAACAGCTGAAAGGTGATTTCCTTTTCATTCAAACTTTATGCAAAACTATCCGTAGGCAAAATGGGTAAACAAATGGGAAGGGTGGCGCAGGGTGGTACAACCATTATAGACGAGGCGGCGTGTGGAAGGGAGGCGGAGGGAGCGAATCAGACAAATGAAAGACGGGAGACAAACCACATGCACACAGGGAGCACAAGACACCTCCTGCCGCACGCTTGTCCCTCAAAGCATTTGGTTCGCAGTGGTAACGAGCCGAGGCGGCATCGCACAAGAATGACGTCTCGGAGAGCCGCGCTCATGCCGTACTGGCGGCGATGTCGCCAACCCCAGTCCTTTTAGCGCTGGTTTTATATCGCCAAGTTTCGGGCAGCAACGCTGCGATCGCTTCTGTCCAGGTTCAGTCCGCCATAGCAACACAACTCGACACTACAGTTTCATTCGTATTGAAAAGAGCAAACTGTTGATAAACTGTGGATCTGTTTCAACATTTGGTGTCTCATCAGTAGTCAGGTTTGCTTGAATCAATGCTGCCAGGTGTTCATTGGTACAGTCCCTCTGTAAGAGTTTTGTTTACGTTGAACCAAAGCTGCACAAGTGATATACTCCCAGAAGGAAGGCCGTGTGGCTGATGGCATGTGTACAAAATACTTTTATGTAGATGGACAGATGTCTGAAGGTGAACGTGTAATGTCTACCGAGTTATTTTGTTACCGATCTTCACAACTGCGCAAGATAACGTATTACCCCAGACTTTGAATCCGTCTGCCCTGTTACAATTGCACGTTAAATTCTTGGCTTTAATCGTGAAGATCGGATACCTTAGGTGGGGGAGAGGGCTGGGCAAGGGAACACCAGGGGTGAGCGGTCACGCTGCCCATCATCGGCGGAACCTGAGCGGGCGTCTGTCTGCATATCCGCTTGTGCGCTGTGCCACAGACTCGGGGGCCGACACAGACATTCTGTGTCACATGATGCCATTCTACAGCTACGACGTCCCGCACACATGCGGGCCTGACCCCCGCGTCTGCTGCCAGTTTGACTTCAAGCGCCTCCCGGGCGGCCGCGTCAACTGCCCCTGGCGCGTCCCACCCCGCGCCATCACTGATGACAACGTGGAGGAGAGGTTGGCACGCATTCCACCCTACCCACCGCGTGTCTCACCCCACACACTCCACCCTACCCACCGCGTGTCCCACCCCACACGCTCCACCCTACCCACCGCGTGTCCCACCCCATGCGCTCGACCCTACCCACCGCGTGTCCCTCCCCACGCACTCCACCTTACCCAAGTTTTTGCAGGAGGGGCGACGATTGCTAGTGCATGTGTAATGCCAATTGATTCATGTGCAGTGTTATTTTTGAAATCGGATCAAGTTGAGCCATGATGCTGGCACGCAGATGTCATTCGCAAGGGTAGACTGTCTCAGAATCTTTAACGTCCGCTGTGAGTGCAGCAGATGGCGTGTTGTATTTAACAGTTAATACACAACGCAGTATTAATCAGAGCGGTCACTTGGTTTGAACTGTGAACCTCTGCAAGGTCGTGGCTGTGCCTTCATCATCCGTGTGTCTCCATGCGGCGTTTCCTATTTCTCCCGTGCGCGTATTCTATTGTCCCCTTGTGTCCCCTCCTTGTGTCCCCCCTCCGCGTGTCCCCCCTCCGCATGTCCCCCCGTGTGTCCCCAAGCCTCGCATCTCTGTCTCCGTGTGTCCCCATGTGTCCCCTCGTCTCTGTCTCCATGTGTCCCTCTGTCCCTGTGCTGCAGGGCCCGGTTGCTGCTCGATCAGTACCGCAAGAAGTCGCGCCTTTTCCGCTCGCCCGTGCTGCTCGTTCCCCTGGGCGATGACTTCCGCTACGACACGGCACAGGAGTGGGACCAGCAGTTCCACAACTACCAGCGCCTCTTCGACTACATCAACGCTCACCCCGAGCTACACGCGCGAGTGCGTCACCTGCCCATCCGCTCGCGCACTCACCACGCCGTCGCCCGTGCACACACACACACACTCACCCAGTTGAGGTTGCTCATTCGCGCATTATTCTGCTGACTCGCTCATCATTTGATTCACTCCCTCATTCACTCATCCACTCTCTTGTTAGTCATCCATCCCCTCGCTCATTCGCTCATCCATCAATTCACTCGCTCACTACCTTATTCGCTTATCCTCTCAGTCGCTTCTCATCCACTCACTCACCTATCCCCTTCCCCCCTATATATCCGTATGCCACCGCAGGCTCAGTTTGGGACGCTCTCCGAGTATTTTGATGCAATGCGGGCTGCGCTGCTGGGCCCTCCGGCCGCCCCGGCGCTGCCAGTGCTGAGTGGCGACTTCTTCTCGTACGCCGACCGCGACGACCACTACTGGACCGGCTTCTACACTACGCGGCCGTTCTACAAGCACCTGGACCGGCTCGTGGAGGCCCGGCTCCGGTAGCTCCCCACCCCCCCGCTTCCCCCGCCACAGCTTAAGCCCCTCGAGCCACGGTTCTGAGCGGGCGCAGCCATTTACGTTCACAAATGGGGAACGAACGAGGACCCCCTCGTTGGTTGTTTTTGTTTAGCCATGCTTGCAGAACACAGCCTCAAAGACCCAAAAGGTCAAGTGGCCAGCAACAAACAGCACTGTCAGAGTTAAGAGTAAATACATAACTTAATTTAAGCAAGGCTAATGCAAGAGCTGGGGTTAAGAGAGACTATGGGAGGGAATTCCACAGTGGAGCAGTGCGAGGGAAGAAGCAGAGAGGTAAGGTTACCGGCAGTGTGGTGTGCAAGTGAGTGAGTTTGTTGGTGAGTGAGTGAGGGAGTGAATGGGTGGGTGAGTGGGTGAGTGGGTAAGCAAGTATGAGTGGGGCAGTGGTTGAGTCGGTGAGTCGGTGAGCGGGTGGAGGAGTGAGTGTGTTGTTGTAACCTGCACAGTATGGATGAGACACGTCGTCTGGTGAGTGAGTTGTTGTTTTGACTTTCAATCTAGAAGCCCAAGTCCTCAACATTGGTGGAGGAATTACCAAGTGAAGTTTACCTGAACAGTAACTATGGTCGTAGAACCTCTGATTATCACGGTTGGCTACGTGCGGTGCCAAAGAAGTTAAAAATACCTCCAATATAAGAGTAATAAGGTGGTGACTGCCGGAGAGCAGGTGACTGGAGTGAATAGGTGAATGCTGAATCATCAGTCACCCTGACTTTGACTTCTATCCACTGCAGCAGTGAGGTAGGAACTGGGTGCTTCAGCCCAGATGTGACAGCAGCAATGGCAAGATTCCAACTTGCGCAAAATTTTGTGTCGTTTGTGTAGCAGTAGTGGTTATTGTTCAGAGGTAAAGACAGATTTGACTTATTCGATCCCTCCTGTCTCCGGAGTCTGGTGAATATGGTGTAATGCCATATGTTCATCATTTCAGCGATCACTGCCCATAGCGATACTCCGACACAGAAGGCACGGACAATACGACAGGTGAATTGTGTCACGAGCGTGCTGCGCTACGAACCCTGCAACTTGAGTTCAGTTCCCAGTCACGGCCAACATCAGCGATGAATATCTGAGCTATACCTGTGACTCCCCTCGGTCGACGCTGCCTTAAACTAGTACCTCCTGTGGTGCGTCAACATCAGCACCTAAGAGGCAAAAAGGTCGGTCGTGGTGCCACGCGGCCTCCTCGTGCTCGCTAACAGCACTTGCCCCGACGGTTTTGTTGAGGCTCCACCGGGGACCTTTGTCTTTGTGCGTGCAGGGCGGCGGAGATCGCCTACTCACTGGCGCTGTCGTACGCGCGCGGGGGCCCCGAGGGGGGCCCCGCGGTGGCGCCCCCCCCATGGGCCCACGACGGAATGCGGCGTCTGGTCGGGGCTCGACGGAACCTGGGCCTCTTTCAGCACCACGACGCGATCACCGGCACCTCCAAGGACCCCGTCGTCCTCGACTATGGAAATCGGTGGGGCCGGGCGGGTGGGCAGATGTGGCTGAATAGGTGGGCAGATGGGCAGGATGGGTGGATGGGTGGTTGGGTGGTTGAGATCAGACAAGTGTGGCCGGAAGCCAGTGTGGGTACGGCACGACGGGCAGGATGGGGTGTGGTGGAGATGGCCGGGTGCAGTGGGTTGAGACCGGGAGGGTTGGTGAGGCCAGACGGGCGGGTGAGCGCGGGTGAGGGTTTTGAGGCTGACCTCGCACTGCGCTTCTCACCAACGGAGCCGTTCCTCCTCCCACAGGCTGCACCAGGCCCTGAACGACCTCAACGGTGTCATCTCGGATGCCGCCGTGTTCCTGCTCGCAGAGGGGGCCGAAGGGGCCAGCGGAGCCTCCGTTCCTCTTGTTCTGGTGATGCAGGCACACAAAGACTAAGACGCACACAACAACAACAACGACTACCGTCATTCACTCATAAGTGGCGGTGACTTCACCATGGCGTGAAGTGTGAGGCTAGGTGCATGATGAGGCCATCCCGTGAAGTGTGTAAGGCTCTCGCTGCTGGCAGGAGGTTATGCGATAGACACGAAACTAAACTAAACGTTTTATTTTACCTGGTAAGGCCACCGAGCTATATAGCTATTTTCAGATTGCACCTGGTTACAAATGATAGCTCAACAAAGTGGATTATCATGGAGAAATTAATATCAGCCAAATATGCTAAACGCATTTCGATTCGAAATGTGGAGGGAAAAACCAGAGGACCTGGAGAAAAATCCACGCGACCACAGGGAGAGACCGAGACATGCAAACTCCAAATATACAGGTGTCAGGGTCAGAATCGAACCCACAACCTCCTCCATACAAGGCGAGGTAATTAACATCTCGCCACTGCGACCTAGATTTTACTGGTTGACAGAGATGAATGGCAGACACACACACGCGCACGAACGCACACGCGATTGATCGTCCAGCACTCACCAATTCACTCCTTTCATTCGCTTACCGGCGGTCAGTGGCCTCCTTATCACTCTTCTATCGCTACTAACATCGTTGTAATTTTTGTTCCCGTGAACTTCACTCATTGATTCCTCCACCCGTGTTGAAGACACTGACTGTTTCATCTTATCCACACTCTGCAGATCTCAACAGGACACTCACCTACACTCACCTTCTCACGAACTCTCGCACTAACCCACTTGCCCACACTCTCACTCACTCACTAAACTTGCTCAGTCACACACCTGCTCTCTCATCCGCTTTCTCACTCGCCCACTCGTGCACTTACTCGCTCACTCAACTCACTCGCCTATGAGCACAGATTCCCGTTCGCACACGCGAACATCTGTTCACCCCCTCCCTCGGCCCCCGCGAGCATCTGTGCCTGGCTCCTGCCTGGGGGGAGAGAGGGGGTGCATGTGTGAGTGTCCTGATATGGAGAGCGTTAGCGCAGTGGTTAGCGCACTGCACTGTGAACCCGGCTACATGAGTTAGATTCCCACTTATGGCCAACATCATTTTTGGGCCTCCCCTTGGTCGACCTGGTATAGTGTGTAAATAACTCATCACTGGGGAGACAAATGCGGCCGGGCGTGGTGCTGGTCACATTACCCCCTCATGTGCCATGTTGGCGTTCATAGGTGCTTGCAAACGCCACTTGCCCTGTCTGTTAAAGGGTTTTCAGGAGATCTTTGTGTGTGTGTGTGCGTTCGCAGGATGAATTCAGGCCTAATCAGGATTCCCTGCCGGGCAAGGTGCTCATAGCCCTCTCCTCCACACCCAGGTGATGGTTCCCACCTCTCCGTGCGTGCATGCGTCTGTCCGAGCGTGAGCGAGTGAGTGAGTAAAGGGGTGAGTAAATGAGTCAGTGAGTGAATGAATGAGTGGCTGGGTGAGTGTGCTGCTGTGTGGTGGTTGAACACATTATGAATGAGACGAAACAGTCAGTCTGGTAGACCTCAACGTGGTATTGATTGGTGGTGCTGGTATTTATTTGGGAGGCTGATAATTGACTCGTTAATTCTGCCGATAAGACGCCGTCTTGTCTGTGCCATGCTGAGGATGGCGACGCGGCTTGGCAGCAGCGCGTTCGTCGCTTATCACGGAGGGTCACGGTTCGATTACGGCAGCTGCCCTGTTTATTACTGCGGGTGTAATGTTCATCGTAATCCTACGCGCCATCCACTTCAAAGTGGACAGAAAAGATGCACTGACGTCATTCACAAGCGTAGCCCATTGTGTGCCGGCGTCGGGATCCAAAGTTGGAAAATTCTAAAATTGACACCGCAGTTTACTCAATTGGGACCACACAACAGCAGCAGCAGCAATCATCACCCCCTACTGGCAGACTATTGCCTGTTTGCAGGCCAGGTGTTGAGTCACCTTGTGCCCACAGATACAGCTGCCACTTGGGATACCATTTGAGAAGTCTTGAGATGATGAGATGCCCCGGTGTACAGGCGGGCAGCTCGATCAAAAACACAATTTGTGACCATTCTGCTTTGAGGACCAGCACCTGGTTGGCCATGGCTATAACAGCACTTCACCAGACAGAGTTATTGTCCACCTTTACGCAGACTATTTCATCTCACCGACCCACTCACCACAATGCAGGTTACGTCACTTCTCTGTCTGTTTCTTCCCTCGCACTGCTCCACTGTGGAATTCCCTCCTCCCATCATCGTCTCTCTCTCTCCACCAAGCTCTCATCGTCATAACCTCACTCGATAAAAAAAACCGTGTTGCAGTCTTATCTGTTACAACTTCAATAGTAGTACTGTTTGCTGCTGGCCTCTCAACGTTTGGGCCTTGGGGCCCCTGTTCTCAGCAACTGTATAAAAGTCCACACGACAATCCGTACTTCAGCAAAAATGGCTTTCCTGGGTAAATAGACCGAGGAACAATAATCTACAAAGTCTCCCACATGCAGTGCAAGCGGATAGAGAATGTTTGTGTTGGACGATGTCATGTTTGATGTGGTGTGAGGTGGGGGTCGTGGGACACTGGGGTCATTGTCAGTCAACCAAGCGGGTGGTGTGCATGCGTGCACGAGTGTACGCGTAAGCAGATGTGTTTATGTGTCCATGCATGCATGCCTGAATGTATGTGTGTGCTCATCTGTGTGGGGAGGGTAGTGCAGTGGTTCGCGCACTGCGCTACAAACCCGGCAACTTCGATTATGAATATCTCAACCAGTCCCAGTCTTCCCCAAGGTCGACTTAGCCTTAAATGCGTATCTTGTGCGGTCTGTAAACATCAACATCGGCGAGACGGAGACGGCCGGGCGTAGTGTTGGCCGCACCACTCCCTCATGTGCCATGACTACCTTCATTGGTGCTCACTAACGGCACTTGCCCCAGCAGTTTGTCATAGGGCTGTGGTTGTCCTTGTAACAAAGCTGCTTAGCTCAATGGGGATCACCAGCTGAGTCTCTTTGAGGCTTCACGGAGGGATGTGTGTGTGTGTGCGGCAGGCCGGTGGTGGTGTACAACACGCTGGCACAGGAGCGTGTGTGTGTGGTGTGCGTCCACGTGAGCACCCAGCGCGCACGCGTGCGTCACCTGGACGGCCGCGCCGTGCTCGCGCAGATCGGCCCGGTGTGGACGGCGGCCGCTGACATGGTGCCCGACACGTACCAGGTGACCCGCACAACAACAACAACCGCCGCCGCCGCCATTCACCACTAAGTGGTAGATAAGTCACCATGGTTTTCTCCCTCGTGGCCATGTTTACACCACGCACGCACACACGCACACGCTGACACTGGTACAAACACACCGCTTGCACACACAGATGGGCACAACAATCGTAAACTTCTTCTTTGGTTCTTTCGGTAAAGTCACGTAGAATGAGAATAAAATAATAAATTGATAAAATAAAATAACACTAAAATTCTCACGATGTTTCGGCCACAACACTAGCGGCCTTCATCAGGTGAAGGGACGAGACTGTCTGGAGGACAGCGCTGGAGCTAACAAAGCCACGCTCAGATCGCGACCTTTAAGCTGTGTGAGAAGAAACAAAGCGCCTTGACAAAGGAATTAGCATAGAATTTAGCATTGAAATAGCTGAGTGATTAGCTTGTGACTGGCCACAGAAATAGCTATGTTAAAGTCAGAGCATACACATTCACAGAGGCACCTAGTACAAATCAAACAGGAGAATTTAGCATTGAAATAACTAGGAGAATTTAGCTTTGAAATAACTGAGTGATTAGCTTGTGACTGGTCACAGAAATGGCTATGTTGAAGTCAAAGCCTACACATCTGAGCTATTCACAGTAACTGGGTATACACTACACTATATAATGAATACTATATAGTGAACCAATATAAAAAAACAAATATAAAAAATTACCTCAATGTTATCAATAAACTCTATATTCTCCAATCAGCTAAGCTACCAACAATAAGTCGTTATATATCACAATGCTATATGGCGAAAAAATGGGTGGATTCTTACCCTAAACTTCAGCACCACGGATAGCTACGGGCCCCGTTCAGACGGACGAGTTCATCCATGGTCGGAACGGAGGAGGGGTAGAGAGACAGCTGCGAGGCGCTGTTATACTCCATGTTGTAAACCATACCATTAACCGTGGTGTGAGAGGTATTAAGAGTCAATGCCAGCGAAAGAGCTGCGGTCTGAAGGTCATCGTAAAATACAATTAATCAAGAACAGAAATGGTTTAAAACATCTTTCCAATGGTTACTAAGCCAGAATCCATCTTCTCGGTGGAAATTGACTCTGTGCTTGTATATGTGAATGGCCTCATGAACGAATCTCTCATGGTAGCCGGTTGGTTTGCAAAGAACCTCCGTCTTGGAGAAGTCAATGTCATGTGAGCCCATTGAATTATAACAGTGATCTGCCACGGCAGAGGAGTTCGTTCTACCGTGTTTCAAGTCTGCTTCATGTTCCCGGATGCGGTCCGAGATATGTCATTTGGTTTCTCCAATGTAGCTACTACCACAGAGGCACCTTAGTTTGTAAATGCCCGGGTACTGTATGTCTGGAACAGCATCTTTTACAGATGGAACCAGATCACGGATTGTATGTACTGTGTTGAATCGGACCTGGATCTTGTGTTTATTCAGGATTTTGGAGATATTTTTAGTGACCCCTGCAATGTAGGGTAAGGTGATGGTTTTGAGTGGCTCCACAAGAGGATCTTTCTTCATGGCTGGAGTGATGGCTTTGCGGATTGTGTAGTCGGAGTAACCATTAGCCCTGAGAGCCTGGTGTACGTGCTTGAGTTCACTGGTAACGTGTTCCTGGTCGGAAATGCATTGGGCTCTATGGTATAGAGTCTTGATGAGGGAGTTCTTCTGGGATGGATGGTGGTGGGAATCCGGTTTCAAGTAAGCATCTGTATGGGTAGCTTTCCTGTAGACAGTGGCTCATTGAACCATCATGTCTCCTTTTAATTAAGACATTCAAAAAGGGTAGTTTGCCATCTTTTTTCGACCTCCATGGTAAATCTGATGGCTGGGTGTATGGAATTGATGTGGTCGCGGAATTGGTCTAGAGCAGGCTGGCCATGTGGCCAGATGACAAAGGTGTCATCCACGTACCTCTTCCATAAGGTCGGGCATAGAGTGGCAGTCTGGATGGCGTCAGTTTCAAATTTTTCCATGAATACGTTTGTGTTGTGGCCGAAATGTCGTGAGAATTTTATTGTGTTATTTTATTTTATCAATTTATTATTTTATTCTCATTCTACGTGACTTTACCGAAAGAACCAAAGAAGATGAATCCTTGCAGTCACGAAAGCTTTAAATCGAAATCGTAAACTTAATTCTCACAGACACTCGCATATGCAGACACCACCCACTCCACAGCGCATACTCAACGACAACTTCTCACGCACAGCCTCTCGTGCGCACGCGCCCGACCACCAACCATGCCCCCCTTCGCCCTCTCACAACCCCAGCTCTCGTTCCTCGCCCGGCTGCCGCCCCTGGCCCTGGTGACTTTTGAACTGTGGGAGGCGTCGGACCCACGCGTGACGGTGCTGGCCAACACCACGCTGTTCGGGGTGGCCCCCGGGCATGGCCCACAGAGGGGTGGCCTGCTCGGCGTGGACGTGAGGGCGGCCCCACCGCCCAGCGGCCTCAGCATCCACAACACGCACGCCACGCTTCGCTTCGGCGGCCCCAAGGGCTTCCTGCAGGTGAGCGCCTCCGTTGACCTCAACGGGGGCCATCACCCTGGCCACAGCGTGGGCCATAACGCCAGTCACAACATGTGCGTCTGTGTGTGTCTGGCACCTCTCGGTCGTGAATGCCGGTGGCGGTCGTTTTGGTTTGCGCAGGGTGTGCGGCTGTGTGGGGCCACGCAAGAGCAGGCAGTGCAGGTGGACCTAGCCTGGTACGGCACGCGCGGAGCGCGCGATAAGAGCGGCGCGTACCTCTTCCTGCCCGACGGGGACGCCAAGGTGCCTCCCCAAAAACACACGGCAACTGCCACCACTACCATCGTCACAAACGCTAATGCCACTGCTACCACCACCACCACTACTTTTACCATAGCTTTCAACCACTGCCACCACTATTAGAACCACCACCACAAAGACCACCATTAACACCACTACCACTAAACACCACCACCATCAAGACTACCATCAAACACCACCATATCTCCACTTCCGCTCCCCCAGCCGTATGAGACCGAGGTGGAGCCCGTGGTGCGGCTCGCCGAGGGGCCGCTCTTCTCCGAGGTGACGTCGTACCTCCCGCACGTCACGCACACCGTGCGGCTCTACAACCTCCCCGGTGAGCGCTCGGAGTCTAGGGGGGTGGGGCTTGGGAGGGGGCGGGGGGGAAGGGGTGGGGTTGGGGGGTGAGCGCTCGGTGCTGTCAGAAACTAAGACGATTAAAATAACAAAACCAACTCCGGTTTAACGGTGGTTTGCAACACGGACAGAAGTATTACCGTAGTCGTAACAGTGGTCGTGTGGTGTGGTAGGGGTGGAGGGGCTCTCGCTGGAGGTCACCAACGTGGTGGACATTCACTCCGAGATCAACCACGAGCTGGTCATGGTGCTCACAACCGACCTGCAGAACCAGGACATCTTCTACACGGACCTCAACGGGTTTCAGGTGTCACACACACACACACACGCGCACACACACACATGCACGCACACGCACACACACGCGCACACACACACGCACACACACACGCGCACTCACGCACATAGGCATGCACACACGCTCACACACACATATACATGCACATACACACTCACACAACAATGTTCGCTATTCGCCACAAAGTGCCACCGACGTTACCACAGTGCTTGTGCCAGGCTGAGTGCACTTTGAGGCCATACGAAGTGTGGAGGTCATAGGATAGTCCCAAGTGCCATGCAGTGACTGACTGAGATGACCGGCAGATGCACTACCTGTACACCCCACTGCGCGACCTTGCTGCGTTTTAGCCGCCCGGCGCTCCGCTGGTTGTTGTCATCGTCGCCGCTCTGCCCGCCGCTGTTGTTGGGAGACGACTGCTATCCTCAGCCACACACGCGCACCGTCACTCACCAGCACCCCCCTCTCGGTGACACCCCAGATGCAGCGGCGCCGCTTCTGGCAAAAGCTGCCGCTGCAGGCGAACGTGTATCAGATGACGAGTGCCGCCGTGCTGCAGGACCCCGAGCGGCGCCTCTCGCTCCTGTCAGCACAGGCCCTTGGCGTGGCCGGCATGCGACCAGGTACGTGCTGATGCTGCAATGACAAGAGGAGCGCTGGGAATTTCATGATCAAAATAATAATAATATATGTAGAGATAGATATATAGAGATATATCTAACGTCATTCATGTAAACTGCAGGGAAAAGCACTGAAGTAGAAATGGTAAAGCGCCACAGTTTTTCCCACAAAGGTCTTGGCGATCGTTCATGGCCACCGCGAATTGTTACGGTCAATAACCACCACAGGATTCACCAGGGTGGCCTGCCGGCTGCAGGCTACGGACCTCCACAACAGCGAGCAGCAAACGCACTTCTGCTGGGGCGCCGTGTGTCTGCCCCCCACGTAGGGGAGCTGCAGGTGTTCCTGGATCGCCGCCTTATGCAAGACGACAACCGGGGCCTGGGCCAGGGCATCAAGGACAACAAGCCGACACTCTCACGCTTCCGCCTGCTGCCCGAGCGGCGCTCGCGGCATGACTCGGTACCGGGGGCGGTGCCTGGGACATGTGCATGCGTGCGTGCGTGCATGCGTGCATGCGTGCATGCGTGCGTGTGTCATGATGTGGGGAGCAGTGGTGCAGTGTTTAGTGCATTACGCTACGAGCCCGTGACCCGAGTTTGATTCGTGCTTACAGCCAATATCGGTTTCGAATATCTGAACCAGCACTGGGCCTCCCTTAGGTCGACTCAGCCTAAAATCAATACCTGGTGCGGTATGTAAACAGTGACATTGAGGAGACAAAGGCGGCCGGGGCATGCCATTGGCCACACCAGACCCTCAATTATCCATGCCGGCCTTCATAGGCACTCAACTCACCTCACTTGCCCAAACAGTCTTTTAAGGACATACGGAAGATTTAGACTTTGTAGACACCCATGTGTTTCTGTGCAGGTGTGTATTCATCTCTATGTGGTCGTCTCCGTGTGTGCGTCTCTGTGTGTGCCTGTATGTTGTGGGGAGCGGTAGTGTAGGGGTTAGCACGCTGCGCTATGAACCTGGAAACCCGGGTTCGATTCCCACTCACGGTCAACACCAGTGACAATTATCTAGACTCCCCTATGTCGACTCAGCCTCAAATGAGTACCTGGTGCGGTGTGTAAACATCGCCACCCGTGTACCCATTCGGTGCATGCGTGCATCTCTGCGTGCTGACTGCTCGGCGCCTGCAGGGCGGTTCCCTATCCCTGCTGGGTCACGTGACATCGGACGTCCTCAACCACCCTGCACTACTGCTGCTGGGAGAGCCGACGCCGCAGGGTTCAGCCGCTCCGCTCGCCCAGCTGACGCCGCTCACCACCCCCCTGCCCTGCGACCTCTACCTCCTCAACCTGCGCACCCTGCAGGCCACGGTGCGTGAACACACAGCGGAACCAGCAGCCGCCACTCACCACCGAGTGGTGGCGACATCACAAAGGCGACCGGGCATGCTGCTGGCCACCCACCCCCACGTGTACTATCCCGGCCTGCATAGGTGCTCACTAACAGCACTTGCCTCAAAAGTCTGCTAAGGCTATACAGGGGATCTTTGTCTTTGCTTCGTGTGTCCAGGAGGGAGGGGGACCCTCTGAAGACATGGCCCTGATTCTGCATCGCCGGGGTTACGACTGCTGGCTGGAGCCAACCCACTACCTGCTCAACTGCAACAGGACAGGGGGAAAGGTGTGTGTCTGTATGCCGCGTAGTGTGTGCGTGTATTATGTGTGGATGCATGGGTATGTCTGAATGCATGCTGCGTGTGGTACATGTGAATGTATATGGTTGTATGTCACGTGTCTGCATGTTGTCTATGTGGTGCGTACGCTTGTATCCATGTGTGTTCAAGCGTTTGCGTGATCTGGGTCGTGTGTCTGTATTTGTGTGAGCTGTCTATGCTGTGTGTATGCTCTTAAGATTTGCTCTAGATGCCCGTTGTAGACTTATCACTGTGAGCTTTACCCCGAAGCCAATCCAGCCTCGCTGAAGTTACACAAAGATCTACTCTGGGCGGTCTTCTTGTGCAAAATTCTGACAGTCAGATCAGCTCGGTGTTTCAACAACATCCTCCATCAGTTATAAATCTCAAGATGCGTTCAGTGAACCTCTGATTGCCCGATGACCGTTCCTGAATTGCGAACTCAGACTGGTTCCAGGGCCATCTCTTGTGCAGCATCCACACTCAAAATGTCCTCATGGCCTATCTTAATATTCCACATCCACATTCTCTAGCCACGTGTGAGTTTGGGCCATGATGCAGGATGGCCTCTGCCACTATTGCTATGGATGCTACAGCTGAGCTCAGTTATACCTAAGGCTGTATACACGGTTTATCAATATGCGCCATCTGTGGCAGGAGCTTTTGAAGCCATTGTTGATTTGTACCTCAGCTCTGTTTGTCGTTTATCCTGTTTGCAGTGAGTTCTGGCATGGGTTTCATGTAAATAATTAGTTTGTTTTGCTCTGCCGAGTTTGCTCGTTCCCTACACCGTGCGATGTTCTGTGACTGCCACTACTTCTGACGGTCTTGGGCTGCGGTCGTCCTGGTAACAGAGCTGCTTCGCTGAGTGGGGCCTCGCCAGCTGAAATAATCAAGCCCGAGTCTGACTATGCAAGTGTGTAGGTGTGTATCTGAGCGTGCTTGCGTTCGCTTGGCGTGTTCGCTCGCGCACGCACGCGCGCACTCGCATCCACCTGCATGACCCTCCAGCTCATTCCCTTCCTCTCCCCCGTCTCCGCCTCAGCTCAACCTCTCCTCAGTCTTCCGTGACCTGACCTTCATCAAAGCGGTGCCCGCCTCCCTCACGCTGCTCTACCCCGCGCCGGTGCCGGGCGTCGGCGTCGAGGACCCGGCAGCGGCAGAGGAGCGCGGCGTCGAGCCCGTGCACGAGCTGGCGCTGCGGCCCATGGAGCTGGCGACGGCGAGGGTGGCGCTCGCCAGGGCTCACCCCGCGGCACGGGGCCCGCGGGCCGGGGCAGTGCGGCCGGTGGATCCCGGCACGCTGTGAGCGCCGGCGTGATGCCTGCGGGTCGCTGTGGTGCGGTGTGAGGCCGGGAGGACAAAGGGACCGAGGGGCAGCGCAAACACGCGCGTTTTACATTTTTCTAACTGGATCGTCTGAGCGGGAGGTGTCAACACCCGCATCGGATCACACACGACTACCGGACCGCATCGGATCGGATCACACACGACTACCGGACCGCATCGGATCGGATTACACGCTCGACAAAATCATATGGAAACAAATTGCACCGGAGTGACCTGTTGGAGCGCATGCTTCTTCGTGGACTCTCGCAGCTCACCAGAACTCACCTAGGCTCACCTGGGCTCACCTCACTGTGACCCACGCTCATCCTGGTGCTCGATGGCCGTGGAATTATCCTCACTCCTGTGACCTAATGGGAACAGGCTTGGACTCCGCACATGTGTGCACGCATGTGTGTGCGTGTGTGCAGCGATAGTTTGTGTTTACCCGCCAGCACTCACAGAAGGCAGTGCATTTATACACCGCACACTCGCATGCCTCGCATACCACTCCAATTAACACAGTCCATATATGCACCCCACACTCATGCACATACATGACACACATACACCAGACACTATATACACACACACACATCACACATACAAATACACCACACACTATATACACAATAACACTGGAGTGACTAGACACACCACACACACATCCGTGTGCACGCTCAGTTCCTCTCCACTACATAGCTGCCATGGACTCATGGCTCCAGGTGGACGAAGCTTTCAGCTGAGCGCAGTCTCAGGGACTGGAGCCTCCTTCACTCTGCGGACTCCAGCGCCCTAATATCAGGGGACTGAGACTCCCTCTAGCAGATGGGAAAATTGTGGACTGGATTCCCGAGTGTGAATCGGACTGAAATGGAGGAGTGAGGAGTGTGGATGAGACTAGGTTGTGGAGTGGAGGAGTGTGGATTGGACTGGACTCGATGTGCACTGTGAGTGTGCCCTAAGAGAGGGGTCCTCACCTTCAATACTGTGACACCGCACCATCTAGCAAGTGCGGTGCATCTGCTGAGTGCGGTGTTTCGAGCGAGTGCGGAGCCCCTGAGTGGTGCTCTCGAGCGAGTGCGGTGCTCTCTAGCGAGTGCAGTACCCCTGATGAGTGCGGTGCTCCTGTTGAGTGCAGTGCGCTACGCTAAGGCATTTCAGGTGCAACTCTGCTCAGGAAATTGAATCTTGTCTCCGGCTCTCGGCTGCGGGGAAGTTCTCGTGTTCCCAACTTCACTTGATTAACTTTGACCTCGCGTGACCCCTCCATCTTCCGGGGGGGCAGGGGGGGGTGACCGTTTGCCTCGAGCCGAGTGCTCCAGTGTAATTTTGTATTGAGAGATGGATACGGGTGGGTGTAGGTCGATTTGCTTTAGGCACAAGGACTGCAGTGAGAAGCCCGAAGGAGGAGGTTGGTGAGGAGGTGGGGAGGGTAGCCTTGGCCCCCACACCTCATCGTCAGACTACGTGGAGCTGACGAGGGATTCCGTCCTGCGCTGTGTGATTAATTCTGATCTTGGGGTTTTACCCTGTGGGTTGTGATTTCGTGGGGGGGGGAATGGAGGGGGGTGCAATTGGTTTGTCTTGGGCAATTCATGACCGGTTGTCGCCGATCTCCGTTCAGACAATGCTGCTGCTGCTGCTGCCCGAGCAGTGGTGCACAAGCCTAGTCAACCCAACACGTTACCTGTCAATAACAACACTGCGGGTGCATGTGTGGCTTTCATGGAACGCATTCAGCAGGTAACGTTTTGAGCAATGAAGGGCCATTTCCCAAAACGTCGCCTATTGTATATATTTGACCTTTAAAGCCACCGTGTTATTGACACACAACGCGTTGAGTTTTTCATTCGAATGCAGGCTGCATTGGTATGCGCACACATGCTGCACGCGCCGGATAGTTGGTAAGCTTGTTCTACGTGGCGTTAGAGTGCGGACTGGCATCAGGATGTGTTTAGCAATCATTAGGCGCGCGCAGTGTGTAACTGCTTCGGTTGTATTAAGATAATATCCCGTTGCGTGCACATCTGTCAGTGTACACGCACACAGTGGGGAGTGGTGGCGCAGCGGTTAGCGAACTGCGCTACTAAAACTGGCCAGATTAGCGAGTTCAATTCCTGCTCACAGCCAACATCAGTGGTGAGTGGTTTCTGAACTGGTCCTGGGCCTCCCCTAGTTCGACCCGGACTTAAAGAAGTACCCGACGTGGCGTGTAAACGTAAGCACTCGAGCTGTTCACTCCACGCCACTTGCTTCCAGTTTGTAGGCTACACCGTGGACCTTTGTCTTTATGCACATGTACCACGTGACGTGGGGTAAGCTCAATTAAAGGTCCCGCTCTCCGTCACCAGGGGACGAGTTTAGCAATAATCAGGTGCGTGCAGCGTGTAACGTCATTTGGATGGGGATTAGAAGACGCAGGGTGGGTGGTAAGGCCTGGAGTGTGGAACCTGTCCCCTCATCACAGGGGCCGGCGTGCACTGGGTGTTTTTTGGGCGCGTATGTGGAGAGCAGTGGCGCAGCGGTTAGCGCTGCACAGCGCTACGAACCCAGAGGCCCGAGTTCGACTCCTGCTCTCGGCCAACTGCGACGAATATCTGAACCGGTTCTGGGCCTTGCCTAGGATTGACTCGGCCTTAAATGAGTTCTGTACCTGGTTGGGATGTGTAAACATCAGCACAGGGGAGACAAAGGCGGTCGGACGTCGTTCAGGCCACACCACCCCCTCGTGTGCCGTTCCGGCCTTCATATGTGCTCGCTAACAGCACTTGCCTCAACAGCCTGTGTGGGCTAGACGGGATACTTTTGTGTGGGATTTTTTTGGATGAATTTAAAGGTATTTAATAAATGAACGTCAATCACGTAACATTCATGGTGCACTGTCGGTACAGCATAAAACCTTAAACCCACCTCACCAATCGTGTTGCAGTGCAGATGATGGTGATGATTACCAAAGTAGTCATTTTCACCGTTTCGTCTCATCCCACACTCTTTGACCACCATACTTCAAGCCACAACAACACCGCTCACCCACTCATCCGGTCACTCACTTTTACAACCGCTCCCCACTAGTCCACTCACCCACTCGTTTACTCATTCATTTATGCACCCACTTCTTGTTTCGCTATACCATGGTTACTGTTCCCGTTAACTTATTGATTCCTACACCCATGTTGAGGGCTCGGGCGTTAGACACTGACTTGTCTCACCAACACACTAGGTCCACAATAGCATCTCACTCACCCAATCGTTCACCCACTCGCTAGATGAATCTCTCACTCACCACACTGCAGGTCACCGCACTTCTCTCTCGCTCTGCTTATTCCTGCTGGCCGCTTTACGTTGTTGGCCATGGGGCACCTTGTGCTCCGCAACTGTGATTTAAAATACACATTAAACGCTCTTCATCCTCGTTACATCATCCTCATCCTCGATACGCCAGGAGCCCCCCAGTCGCTGATGTGTGGTGGTGGTGGCGATGTGATTCAGAGAAGAGAGGATCGGGGTGAGGGGGACCGTGAGGCTGCCATGCTCCGTGAAGTTCAGGAATGGAGGAAACGGGGGTCAGTGAGGGGGTCGACTCTGGGGGTGTAGGCGCCGCGCGTCCATTGCTAGGCACTTCAGTTGTGCGTGCTGTCTGCCTTTACTGCTTGTGCGGTTGTCTGCCTGTCCGTGCTGCCCGCTGTGACTGCCTGTGTGGCTGTCTGCCTGTCCGTGCTGTCCGCTGTGACTGCCTGTGCGGCTGTCTGCCTGTGCGTGCTGCCCGCTGTGACTGCCTGTGTGGCTGTCTGCCTGTGCGTGCTGTCTGCCTTAACTGCATGTGCGGCTATCTGCCTTGACTGCCTGCCTGTTTGGTTGTCTGCCTGTGCGTGCTGCCCGCTGTGACTGCTTGTGCGGCTGTCTGCCTGTGCGTGCTGTCCACTGTGACTGCCTGTGCGTGCTGTCCGCTGTGACTGCCTGTTTGGCTGTCTGCCTGCGCGTGCTGTCCGCTGTGATTGCCTGTACGACTGTCTGCCTTGACTGCCTACTTGGCTGTCTGCCTGTGCGTGCTGTCCGCTGTGATTGCCTGTACGGCTGTCTGCCTTGACTGCTTGTGCGGCTGTCTGCCTGTGCGTGCTGTCCACTGTGACTGCCTGTGCGTGCTGTCCGCTGTGACTGCCTGTTTGGCTGTCTGCCTGCGCGTGCTGTCCGCTGTGATTGCCTGTACGACTGTCTGCCTTGACTGCCTACTTGGCTGTCTGCCTGTGCGTGCTGTCCGCTGTGATTGCCTCGTACGGCTGTCTCCCTTGACTGCTTGTGCGGCTGTCTGCCTGTGCGTGCTGTCCACTGTGACTGCCTGTGCGTGCTGTCTGCCTTGACTGCTTGTGCGGCTGTCTGCCCGTGCGTGCTGTCCACTGTGGCTACCTGTGCGGCTGTCTGCCTGTGCGTGCTGTCCGCTGTGACTGCCTGTTTGGCTGTCTGCCTGCGCGTGCTGTCCGCTGTGACTGCCAGTACGACTGTCTGCCTTGACTGCTTGTTTGGCTGTCTGCCTGCGCGTGCTGTCCACTGTGACTGCCTGTGCGTGCTGTCTGCTGACTGCCTGTGCGGCTGTCTGTCTGAGCGTGCTGTCCGCTGTCACTGCCTGTGTGGCTGTTTGCCTGTGTGTGCTGTCTGCCTGTGTGTGCTGTCTAATGTTGACTGCCTGTGCGTTCTGTCTGCCTGTGCGGCTGTGTGCGCCGAGCTGTCACCCCCGCTGCTCCCCGTCCCCCAATTCACAAGTTTCTCTCTCTCATGTTTTCAACGCATCGGAAAAAAAAAACATCGACCCCTGAGAGAGACTGGGAGCGAGTCGGAGAGAATAGACAGACGGGGGCGGGGGGCGGAGAGAGACGGGGAAAAAGGAGCGAGAGGAGAGACGTAGAGAGGAGAGAAGCAAGAGACGCGGAGAGAGAAGAGAGGTGAGTGATGCTCTCTCCATCCTTGGCCCTCCTCTGATCCCCCGTGACCCCCCCCCCCTTCCCCGCGATATCCGGGGACCTTCGACTGCGGTTCGGGATCGGTAGAGACGGGGTCAGGGCCGCCCCCCTCTACGGCGTGAACCACACTGTGCAGCCAGTCGGGGGATCAGAGGGGATCACGGGGAGCCGGTAAAGGCGCGCGGTGGGAGGGGGGGGGGCTGTGCGCAGGTTGAGTAGCTGCTGCCGAGGCCGCGGGCTCGGCCCTTGGGGGACCCGGCCGCTGAAGAGGGGGGCTGCCCCGCCCCCCGTCTCCCCGCTTGCCAGGCTGATGCGACACAGCGAGAATTGTGATAACGATGATTATGTAACGCCGCGTCCTGCCGGCGGGGTGCTGAGTGCGGACAGCAGCAGCTGAGTGCGGGGTGTAGTAATGTGCAGGGTTCCGAGTAGGGTGCAGGGTGTTTCTGGTGCTGGTGCTGTGTACCGGGTGTAGTGTTCAGAATGCTGATTATCGGGTGCTGTGTACATGGTGTAGGGTGCGTGGTGCCGGGTTCTCGGTGTAGGGTGCTGGGTGTAGGGTGCTGTGTACATGGTGCTGGGTGTAGGGTGCTGTGTACATGTTGCGGGGTTCTGGATGTATGGTGCTGGTTGTAGGGTGCTGTGTACTGGGTTTACTCCCACAGACTCAGTAACCTCATGGCGAATTATGTATAGCAGTCAGCTGATTACCTACATAGCTATGAAGAAGTGCCATTGCCCGAAACGTCGCCTATGATATACCGTTTACATTTCATGGTAAGGCCACAAATGTGTGGCGTTGTTGTCTGTACACCACTGGCAATGCAGTATCACGACCCCCAGGTGACTCACAGGTAACGGCCTTGCCCCGCCCACCCAAGTGTGTAGCCCCGCCCCCTACGCAGCTCCGCCCCGTGGCCATGCGGGGCCCGGACACCTCGGCGCTCCTGCGCGCAGTTCTGATCACGTGCCTCCTACCAGGTAAGAACCACTCCTTCAGCCACCCACAGGCAGCCGCACACCAGCCAGACCCCTCCCCTCACCACCCAGACCCCTCCCCTCACCACCCAGACCCCTCCCCTCACCACCCAGACCCCTCCCCTCACCACCCAGACCCCTCCCCTCACCACCCAGACCCCTTCCCTCACCATCCAGACCCCTCCCCTCACCACCCAGACCCCTCTCCTCACCACTTAGACCACACCCCTCACCCCCCAGACCCCTCCCCTCACCACCCAGACCCCTCTCCTCACCACCCAGACCCCTCCCCTCACCACCCAGACCCCTCCCCTCACCACCCAGACCCCTCACCACCCCGACCCCTCCCCTCACCACCCAGACCCCTTCCCTCACCCCCCAGACCCCTCCCCTCACCACTCAGACCCCTCCCCTCACCACCCAGACCCCTCCCCTTACCACCCAGACCCCTCTCCTCACCACCCAGACCCCTCCCCTCACCACCCAGACCCCTCCCCTCACCACCCAGACCCCTCCCCTCACCACCCAGACCCCTCCCCTCACCACCCAGACCCCTCTCCTCACCACCCAGACCCCTCCCCTCCCCACCCAGACCCCTCACCACCCAGACCCCTCCCCTAACCACCCAGACCCCTCCCCTCACCACCCAGACCCCTCACCAGCCAGTCCCCTCCCCTCACCACCCAGACCCCTCCCCTCACCACCCAGACCCCTCCCCTCACCACCCAGACCCCTCCCCTCACCACCCAGACCCCTCCCCTCACCACCCAGACCCCTCCCCTCACCACCCAGACCCCTCCCCTAACCACCCAGACCCCTCACCACCCAGACCCCTCCCGTCACCACCCAGACCCCTCACCACCCAGACCCCTCACCACACCACCCAGACCCCTCCCCTCACCACCCAGACCCCTCCCCTCACCACCCAGACCCCTCACCACCCAGACCCCTCCCCTCACCACCCATACCCCGCCCCTCACCACCCAGACCCCTCACCACCCAGACCCCTCACCACACCACCCAGACCCCTCCCCTCACCACCCAGACCCCTCCCCTCACCACCCAGACCCCTCACCACCCAGACCCCTCCCCTCACCACCCAGACCCCTCCCCTCACCACCCAAACCCCTCCCCTCACCACCCAAACCCCTCCCCTCACCACCCAGACCCCTCCCCTCACCACCAGACCCCTCCCCTAACTACCCAGACCCCTCACCACCCAGACCCCTCCCCTCACCACCCAGACCCCTCCCCTCACCACCCAGACCCCTCCCCTCACCACCCAGACCCCTCACCGCCCAGACCCCTCCCCTCACCACCCAGACCCCTCACCACCCAGACCCCTCCCCTCACCACCCAGACCCCTCCCCTCCCCACCCAGACCCCTCCCCTCCCCACCCAGACCCCTCACCACCCAGACCCCTCCCCTCACCACCCAGACCCCTCCCCTCACCACCCAGACCCCTCCCCTCACCACCCAGACCCCTCACCACCCAGACCCCTCCCCTCACCACCCAGACCCCTTCCCTCACCGCCCAGACCCCTCCCCTCACCACTCAGACCCCTCCCCTCACCACCCAGACCCCTCCCCTTACCACCCAGACCCCTCTCCTCACCACCCAGACCCCTCCCCTCACCACCCCAGACCCCTCCCCTCACCACCCAGACCCCTTCCCTCACCACCCAGACCCCTCCCCTCACCACCCAGACCCCTCTCCTCACCACCCAGACCCCTCCCCTCACCACCCAGACCCCTCCCCCTCACCACCCAGACCCCTCACCACCCAGAACCCCTCCCCTCACCACCCAGACCCCTCCCCTCACCACCCAGACCCCTCCCCTCACCACCCAGACCCCTCCCCTCACCACCCAGACCCCTCCCCTAACCACCCAGACCCCTCACCACCCAGACCCCTCCCCTCACCACCCAGACCCCTCACCACCCAGACCCCTCACCAACCCAGACCCCTCACCACCCAGACCCCTCACCTCACCACCCAGACCCCTCACCACCCAGACCCCTCCCCTCACCACCCAGACCCCTCCCCTCACCACCCAAACCCCTCCCCTCACCACCCAAACCCCTCCCCTCACCACCCAGACCCCTCCCCTCACCACCCAGACCCCTCCCCTAACTACCCAGACCCCTCACCACCCAGACCCCTCCCCTCACCACCCAGACCCCTCCCCTCACCACCCAGACCCCTCCCCTCACCACCCAGACCCCTCACCGCCCAGACCCCTCCCCTCACCACCCAGACCCCTCACCACCCAGACCCCTCCCTCACCACCCAGACCCCTCCCCTCACCACCCAGACCCCTCCCCTCACCACCCAGACCCCTCACCACCCAGACCCCTCCCCTCACCACCCAGACCCCTTCCCTCACCAGCCCAGACCCCTCCCCTCACCACTCAGACCCCTCCCCTCACCACCCAGACCCCTCCCCCTTACCACCCAGACCCTCTCCTCACCACCCAGACCCCTCCCCTCACCACCCAGACCCCTCCCCTCACCACCCAGACCCCTCCCCTCACCACCCAGACCCCTCCCCTCACCACCCAGACCCCTCCCCTAACCACCCAGACCCCTCCCCTCACCACCCAGACCCCTCACCAGCCAGTCCCCTCCCCTCACCACCCAGACCCCTCCCCTCACCACCCAGACCCCTCCCCTCACCACCCAGACCCCTCACCACCCAGACCCCTCCCCTCACCACCCAGACCCCTCCCCTCACCACCCAGACCCCTCCCCTCACCACCCAGACCCCTCCCCTCACCACCCAGACCCCTCCCCTAACCACCCAGACCCCTCACCACCCAGACCCCTCCCCACACCACCCATACCCCTCCCCTCACCACCCAGACCCCTCACCACCCAGACCCCTCACCACCCAGACCCCTCACCACACCACCCAGACCCCTCCCCTCACCACCCAGACCCCTCACCACCCAGACCCCTCCCCTCACCACCCAGACCCCTCCCCTCACCACCCAAACCCCTCCCCTCACCACCCAAACCCCTCCCCTCACCACCCAGACCCCTCCCCTCACCACCCAGACCCCTCCCCTAACTACCCAGACCCCTCACCACCCAGACCCCTCCCCTCACCACCCAGACCCCTCCCCTCACCACCCAGACCCCTCCCCTCACCACCCAGACCCCTCACCGCCCAGACCCCTCCCCTCACCACCCAGACCCCTCACCACCCAGACCCCTCCCCTCACCACCCAGACCCCTCCCCTCACCACCCAGACCCCTCCCCTCACCACTCAGACCCCTAACCACCCAGACCCCTCACCACCCAGACCCCTCCCCTCACCACCCAGACCCCTCCCCTCACCACCCAGACCCCTCACCGCCCAGACCCCTCCCCTCACCACCCAGACCCCTCACCACCCAGACCCCTCCCCTCACCACCCAGACCCCTCCCCTCACCACCCAAACCCCTCCCCTCACCACTCAGACCCCTCCCCTAACCACCCAGACCCCTCACCACCCAGACCCCTCCCCTCACCACCCAGACCCCTCCCCTCACCACCCAGACCCCTCCCCTCACCACCCAGACCCCTCCCCTCACCACCCAGACCCCTCCCCTCACCACCCAGACCCCTCCCCTCACCACCCAGACCCATCCCCTCACCACCCAGACCCACGTTCCACTGACCGCCCCCCTCTCTGCCCCCCAGGATCGTTCCAGGGGGAGCACCAGCGCCGCCTCTACCGCGAGCTCCTGAGTCGCGCCTCGCCCCTGGAGCGCCCCGTGCAGAACGACTCCCAGGCACTACGGGTGGACTTCATGCTCAGCCTCATGCAAGTGATGGACGTGGTGAGCGTTGGGGCCTCACCACCTCGATCCACCACTCATTCCTTGGTGAACATTGTGTATTTCGATGACGGCGACGATTCTTTGAGAGCTTAGTTCGAGGGAGACGGTTGTCACTTCGTGGACGCGTCGACACGTCTCGGTGCGCAAAGTCACGCAGAAAATTGCGCGCTTCAGTTGCCGGTGGACGTTCGAAGCGAGGACTGCGACGCTCAAAGGAATCGCGTCTGTCCCCCTTGAGACGTGCGTCAAGCAAATCACTCGAGACGCCGGAATGGCAGCAGGAGCAATTTATGCGAATGCTGTCGCAAGAAGTCAGACGTTTGGCGCAACGCTCCTTCGCTGACTACGCGTGACGAGTGAACGACGAGTCTCGCCATAAAATAACCAACACCGTTGACTTCCCCGCGAAGTTTTAGCCATCACCAGCACCGGCATCGCACATCATCATCGTCCATCACACATGCCTCACGGTCACGACCCCGATCATTCACAGCTCTATCATTCCACCCATTGCGATCCACCATCACAGTGATCATGCCCATGGGACAGCCCGCATCACTCCCCCTTCTCCATCCATTACCACCATCACACCGCCCCCATAATCCCTCATCACCCCTCTAACATCCCTCCCGTCTCCTCCTCTGCTTCCTCTCCGCACTCCTCGTCTGCCCTGCCCCTCCCCGCACTTCCTCCATCTCCCCGTCCCCCAGGATGAGAAGAACCAAGTGCTCACCACCAACGTGTGGCTGCAGATGGTGAAGTATGGGGTGGGGGGGTTGGGGGGGTTGTCGTGGTGGTTGTAGTGCGAGTAGTGTGATCATGGTGGTCGTAGTAGTGTGATCATGGTGGTCGTAGTAGTGTGATCATGGTGGTCGTAGTAGTGTGATCATGGTGGTTGTAGTAGTGTGATCATGGTGGTCGTAGTAGTGTGATCATGGTGGTTGTAGTGCGAGTAGTGTGATCATGGTGGTCGTAGTAGTGTGATCATGGTGGTCGTAGTAGTGTGATCATGGTGGTCATAGTGTGATCATGGTGGTCGTAGTAGTGCAAGTAGTGTAATCATGGTGGTCGTAGTAGTGCGAGTAGTGTAATCATGGTGGTCGTAGTAGTGTGATCATGGTGGTTGTAGTGCGACTAGTGTAATCATGGTGGTCGTAGTAGTGCGAGTAGTGTAATCATGGTGGTCGTAGTAGTGTGATCATGGTGGTTGTAGTAGTGTGATCATGGTGGTCGTAGTAGTGCGAGTAGTGTGATCATGGTGGTCGTAGTAGTGTGATCATGGTGGTTGTAGTGCGAGTATTGTGATCATGGTGGTCGTAGTAGTGTGATCATGGTGGTCGTAGTAGTGCAAGTAGTGTAATCATGGTGGTCGTAGTAGTGCGAGTAGTGTGATCATGGTGGTCGTAGTAGTGTGATCATGGTGGTTGTAGTGCGAGTATTGTGATCATGGTGGTCGTAGTAGTGTGATCATGGTGGTCGTAGTAGTGCGAGTAGTGTGATCATGGTGGTCGTAGTAGTGTGATCATGGTGGTTGTAGTGCGAGTATTGTGATCATGGTGGTCGTAGTAGTGTGATCATGGTGGTCGTAGTAGTGCGAGTAGTGTAATCATGGTGGTCGTAGTAGTGTGATCATGGTGATTGTAGTAGTGTGATCATGGTGGTCGTAGTAGTGTGATCATGGTGGTTGCAGTGTTAGTCGTGTGGTTGTGGTGTTAGTGGTGTTGTCGTGGTGGTTGTAGTGTTGTGTTGTCGTGGTGGTTGTAGTGTTGTGGTCGTGGTGGTTGCAGTGTTAGTCGTGTGGTTGTGTTAGTGGTGTGGTCGTGGTGGTTGTAGTGTTAGTCGTGTGGTTGTGGTGTTAGTGGTTTTGTCGTGGTGGTTTTAGTGTTGTGGTCGTGGTGGTTGCCGTGTTAGTCGTGTGGTTGTGGTGTTAGTGGTGTTGTTGTGGTGGTTGTAGTGTTAGTGGTGAGTTGTTGATGTTGATTGTTGTTGTTGATTTGAACTTGGTGCATTTTCTTTGTCCTGGTTGTTGTTTTTCGTACCCGTGGTTGTTGATTATTGTTTATTTTGCTGATTGCTGTAGAATGTGGATTGTGGTGGTGGTTGTGGTGGTGGTTGTATAACTGGGTGGAGTGTGGTTAATGTAGATTGTGGTGGTGGTTGTGGTGGTTGTAGAACTGGGTGGAGTGTGGTTATTGTAGATTGTGGTGGTGGTTGTAAAACTGGGTGGAGTGTGGTTAGTGTAGATTGTAGTGGTTGTGGTGGTGGTGGTGGTTGTAGAACTGGGTGGAGTGTGGTTATTGTAGGTTGTGGTGGTGGTGGTGGTTGTAGAACTGGGTGGAGTGTGGTTATTGTAGATTGTTGTGGTGGTTGTAGAATTGGGTGGAGTGTGGTTATTTTAGATTGTGGTGGTGGTTGTGGTGGTGGTGGTGGTTGTGGTGGTGGTTGTAGAACTGGGTGGAGTGTGGTTATTGTAGATTGTGGTGGTTGTGGTGGTGGTGGTTGTAGAACTGGGTGGAGTGTGGTTATTGTAGATTGTGGTGGTGGTTGTGGTGGTTGTAGAATTGTGTGGAGTGTGGTTATTGTAGATTGTGGTGGTGGTAGTTGTGGTGGTGGTTGTAGAACTGGGTGGAGTGTGGTTATTGTAGATTGTGGTGGTGGTGGTTGTGGTGGTGGTGGTTGTAGAACTGGGTGGATTACTATCTGCAGTGGAACGCCTCGCGCACTCCGGGCGTCACCAAACTCCGCTTCAAACCCGAGCAGGTGTGGACCCCGGACATCCTGCTCTACAACAGGTGGGGGGGGGGGGGTGAGAGGGGTTCAGGTTGATGTTGTGTGGCCAGGTGAGACCTCAAGAGACCAGGACTGGAGTGTCATCGCACGAGTGATTCTCCAAAGCAAAGCGAATACAATAAAGTAACAGCAAATTTCGATTTGAAGCTTTCGTGACTGCAGGGATTAATCTTCTGGGTTCTTTCGGTAAAGTCACGTAGAATGGAGATAAAATAATAAAAATAATAATAATAACAGAATAAAATTCTCAAGACATTTCGGCCACAACACAAGTAGCCTTCCTCAGGTGAAGAAACAGGACTGTCCGGAAGACAGCGCTTGAGTGAACCCTGCCAAGCATGGCAGCGTCTTTTAAGCTGTGTAGGAGGAACAGAGTGCCTTGACAAAGGAGTTTACATATAAATTAGCATGTAACTGGGGAATTAGCATGATGTTGGTGTCGGAATAGAGGAGGGGGGAGAGGAGTTTACATATAAATTGTCATGTAACTGGGGGATTAGCATGATTTCGATTTAAAGCTTTTGTGACTGCAAGAATTCATCTTCTTTGGTTCTTTCGGTAAAGTCACGTAGAATGAGAATAAAATAATATTTTATCAATTTATAATTGTATTCTCATTCTACGTGACTTTACCGAAAGAACCAAAGAAGGATTAGCATGATGTTGGTGTCGGAACAGAGGAGGGGGGAGAGGAGTTTACATATAAATTAGCATGTAACTGGGGGATTAGCATGATGTTGGTGTGAGGGATTAGCACCACGGAGAGCGACGAGCTTTTGTTCAGACGGACGAGTCCATCTATGTTCGGAACGGAGGAGGGGGGAGAGGAGTTTACATATCAACAGTAAATTAGCATGCAACTGGGGGATTAGCATGATGTTAGTAAGAGGGATTAGCACCATGGAGAGCGACAAGCTTTGTTCAGATGGACGAGTCCATCTATGTTCGGAACGGAGGAGGGGGGGGAAGAGGAGGAAACAGCCAAGGTGCGCTGCTCTGTCCTGTGTTGCGTTATAACTATGCTATAAACTAGACTACTATACATTACAATATTATACCTTCCAATCTAAACTACATTGTATAATATCATATCCATAGACAAACCCCACCTTTGAATTATACAATGCGTTACTATACACTACCCTATACTTTAGAGTTTAGACTATAAAATATTAGACTTGTAGTATTACACTATGTATTATTCTACTAACCCTACTGTATGCCACACTGCTGTATATTCACTATACAATTACGGTACTATATATTGCCTTATGAATTATGTTAAACATTACACTGTTATACTATTTATTATTATACAAAATGCTATAAACTATACTATTGACCATCGTGTGAAAGGTACTAAGAGACAGTGCCAGCGAATGGACTGCGGTCTGAAGGTCACCGTAAAATACAATCCATCAAGTACCGAAATGGTTTATAACGTCTTTCCAATGGTTACTAAGCCAGAATCCATCTTTTCGGTTGAAATTGTCTCAGAGTTTGTATATGTGGATAGCCTCATGAACGAATCTCTCATGGTAGCCGGATGGCTTGCAAAGAACGTCCGTATTGGAGAAGTCAATGTCATGTGAGCCCACTGAATTATAACAGTGATCTGCCACGGCTGAGGTGTTCATCCTACTGTGTTTCAAGTCTGCTTCATGTTCACGGATGCGGTCCGAGATATGTCGTTTGGTTTCTCTAATGTAGCTGCTACCACGGAGGCAACTTAGTTTGTAGACACCCGGGTACTGTATGTCTGGAACCACATCTTTTACAGACGGAACCAAATCATGGATTTTATGTGCTGTGTTGAATCGGACCTGGATCTTGTGTTAAGGATTTTGGAGATCTTTTTTGTGACCCCCCGCAATGTAGGATAAGGTGATGGTTTTGAATGGCTCCTCAAGAGGATCCCTCTTCATGGTTGGAGTGATGGCTTTGCGGATTGTGTAGTCGGAGTAACCATTAGCCTTGACAGCTTGGTGTACGTGCTTGAGTTCACTAGCAATGTGTTCCTGGTCGGAAATACATTGAGCTCTATGGTATAGAGTCTTGATGAGGGAATTCTTCTGGGATAGATGGTGGTGAGAATCCGGTTTTAAGTAAGCATCCGTATGAGTAGCTTTCCTGTAGACAGAGTGGCTTATTGAACCATCAGGTCTCCTTTTAATGAGGACACCCAAAAAGGGTAGCTTGCCATCTTTTTCGACTTCCATGGTAAATCTGATGGCTGGGTGTATGGAATTGATGTGGTCGAGGAATTGGTCTAGAGCAGGCCGGCCATGTGGATCCAGGTCCGATTCAACACAGTACATAAAATCCGTTATCTGGTTCCGTCTGTAAAAGATGTGGTGACATACAGTATCCGGGCATCTACAAACTAAGTTGCCTCTGTGGTAGCAGCTACATTGGAGAAACCAAACGACATATCTTGGACCGCATCCGTGAACATAAAGGAGACTTGAAACACGGTAGGACACCTCAGCCGTGGCAGATCACTGTTATAATTCAGTGGGCTCACATGACATTGACTTCTCCAAGACGGAGGTTCTCTGCAAGCCATCCGGCTACCATGAGAGATTCGTTCATGAGGCTATCCACATATACAAACACAGAGACAATTTCAACCGAGAAGATGGATTCCGGCTTAGTTACCATTGGAAAGACGTTATAAACCATTTCGGTTCTTGATTGATTGTATTTTACGGTGACTTTCAGACCGCAGTCCATTCGCTGGCACTGCCTCTTAGTACCTTTCAGATGACGGTCAATAGTATAGTTTATAGCATGTTCTATAATAATAAATAGTATAACAGTGTAATGTTTAACATAATTCATAAGGCAATATATAGTACCGTAATTGTATAGTGAATATACAGCAGTGTGGTATACAGTAGGGTTAGTAGAATAATACATAGTGTAATACTACAAGTCTAATATTTTATAGTCTAAAGTATAGGGTAGTGTATAGTAACGCATTGTATAATTCAAAGGTGGGGTTTGTCTATGGATACGATATTATACAATGTAGTTTAGATTGGAAGGTATAATATTGTAATGTATAGTAGTCTAGTTTATAGCATAGTTACAACACAGGACAGAGCAGCACACCGTGGCTGTTTCCTCCTCTTCCCCCCCTCCTCCGTTCCAAACATAGATGGACTCAATCTTTGAGAGACGGAACATCACACTAAATCAAACAGGGTTCAGCAAAATTTGCAACTATGTAAAGCAACACAGACGGTCGATTAAAACACAACGCATGGTTTGGTTGAATACGCTGCTTTACATAGTTCCAAATTTTGCTAAACCCTGTTTGATTTAGTGTGATGTTCCGTCTCTCTGTATCCCCTGGTATATATCTGTGTTAATTCCCTCTACTTAAGGTCTGTATATATATCTGCGATTATGTGTTTCCTCTACCTGATGATGATTGCTTGTGTTGCAATAGAAACGTCGTATATTATGTAATTTTATTTTTAATTTTTCTTATTTCTACGTGACTTTACCGAAAAAAACAAAGATTAATTCCTGCAGTCACGAAAGCATCAAATCTATAGATGGACTTGTCCATCTGAACAAAGCTCGTCGCTCTCCGTGGTGTTAATCCCTCATACTAACATCATGCTAATCCCCCAGTTACATGCTAAATTATTGTTAATATGTAAACTCCTCTCCCCCCTTCTCCGTTCCGAACATAGATGGACTCGTCCATCTGAACAAAGCTTGTCGCTCTCCGTGGTGCTAATCCCTCACACCAACATCATGCTAATCCCCCAGTTACATGATAATTTATATGTAAACTCCTCTCCCCCCTCCTCTATTCCGACACCAACATCATGCTAATTCCCCAGTTACATGCTAATTTATATGTAAACTCCTTTGTCAAGGCATTATGTTTCTCCCACACAGCATAAAAGACGCTGCCATGCTTGGCAGGGTTCACTCAAGCGCTGTCTTCCGAACAGTCCTGTTTCTTCACCTGAGGAAGGCTACTTGTGTTGTGGCCGAAACGTCGTAAGAATTTTATTCTGTTATTATTTTTATTATTTTATCTCCATTCTACGTGACTTTACCGAAAGAACCCAGAAGAAAGTAACAGCAATTAAGCAAATAGCAATCAAAGCAATATCAACTGCGTTGTCATGTGTGTAATTGTGTGGTTTTGTGTGGTTGTAGTGCAGATGAGAGGTTCGATGCCACATTTCACACGAGTGTCCTGGTCAACCACACGGGCGGATGCCAATACATACCCCCAGGTACACACACACCCCGAGGTACACACACACCCCGAGGTACACACACACCCCCAGGTACACACACACCCCCAGGTACACACACACCCCCAGGTACACACCCCCAGGTACACACACACCCCGAGGTACACACACACCCCCAGGTACACACACACTCCGAGGTACACACAACAACAACCGCCATTCACCACTAAGTGGCGGTGACATCACCACTACGCTTGTGCCAGGCCATGTGCACCTTGAGGCCACGTGAAGTGTCGAACGCCCACTGGCAGGAGGTCACGGAGCAGACCCAAGTGCCACGGGTCAACTGACTGAGATGACTGAGATGACTGGCTGATGCACCACCTGTGCCCCCTACTGTGCCAATCTGCTGTACTTCAGCCACCCGGTGCTCCGCTCGTTGTTGTGAGCGTCGCTCCTCCGCCCTCCGTTGTTGTTGGAGGGCGACTGCCTCCAACTGCCCAGTAGCGTCCTTCATGAGCCTCCTCCACAGAGGCCGATCTTGACACCGCTGGTACCAGTCATCGGCAAGTCCACTCAGCTCCATGTCCTCCTGTACCACATCAATCCATCTCTTCTCTAGCCCGTGCCACGCCTGTTTAGCCCCCTCGATCCAGCCGAACAAAAGCTATTTAGGCATGCGGTGGATCGGCATGCGGGCTACATGACCCAGCAAACGCAGCCTTGACTGCCGGAGGAGCTCACCGATGGGACCTTGTCCAGATCTTTCAAGGATTTTTGAGCTCCTCACACAATCTAGCCTGGTTAAACCCAGAATGGATCGTAGGCAGGCTAGCCTAAATGTTTCTAACCGGCGAAGATGTTCCATTAGGGGGGTCCACGTTTCCCAAGCGTAAAGAAGGGAGGGAATGACTGTGGCCGAGAAGACCTGAAGCTTAGTGCGGAGCGACAGACCAGGTAGCTTCCACACAGCGTTACGCAATCGATGAAAATATATTTCCGCTCGACTGATTTGGAGTGAGACCTCTGCTGTTAAACTGGAGCCGGTCATAAGCACACTGCCCAGGTATGGGAAACTCTACACTCTCTCCACAAATGCCCCATCACCGATTGGGAGTTGTTAGGGTGGAGTGTCCGATGGTACAAAATACCCAGGCAGGTGCTTAGTTTTGGTGGGGCTGATGGTAAGGCCCCACCTCTTAGTGGCATGCTCCAGTCTCAGAAGCAGCATCTCCAACTCCTCCTCTGAATAAGCAGCTATTACCAAATCATCGGCATAAATAACGTGTTTGAGCAATAGGGGGCCATCCCTTAACCGCACCCGGGCATCAATCAGCCTCCCATTATATCTGTACCAAATGGAAATTCCCCCGGTACAGCTATTGAAGGCTTCACGAACTACGTGGTCAAAATAGATGTTAAATAATGTGGGAGCCAGAGGACATCCCTGTCGCACCCCAAGGTGTACAGGGAATGGCTCTGACTCCCATCCACATAGATTTACCCGGGCCTGCTCACCATCATGAAGGTCCTTAATGATCGTGAGCAGAGGGTCAGGGACTCCGAAAGCACGAAGAACAACCCAGAGCCCAGGCCTACTGATGGTATCACAGGCCTTGACCAGATCACTAAAGCAGAGATGTAGGTCTTGTTGGAATTCCCTACATCTCTGCTGTAGCAGACAGACAGAAAATATGGCATCTGTGCAGGACCAGCCTTTCCTGAAATCGCATTGGGGCTCCGCATGCCTCTTCTCAGGGTGCCTGGCAAGGCGATGTTGAATAATCCTTGCCAGGACCTTTCCCGGCCTACTGAGGAGTGAGATGCCCCTGTAGTTGTTACAGTCTGTGCGGTCCCTCTTCTTAAAGGGTCGGACCACCAGGGCATCCTTCCAATCCTCCGGAACCCGTCCAGTGGTCCAGACTGATGTTGTCATATAGGGCAGTCTGTGCACAAACGCCACCCTCCCTCAGCATTTCGCTTGGGAGATCATCTCTGCCCGGTGCCTTTCCTGGTCTCAGACTCCGGATCGCCTTCAGTACTTCCTCAACAGATGGCACCTCAGCCAGCCACTCACAGGGGGTGCTTCTTCCAATATTTGAGGCACCGCAGCCTCAGCAGAGTCATCCCCACTTTGTGCCACGATGTTTTTCTGGCTGAGGGATTTCCCCTCCCCCAGGACCTCACGAAACTGCTCAGCAAATCTGCCAACCTGTTCCTGGGGGTCGGAGATTGGATCACCGTTTTTTCCCCTAATGATGGTAATAGGTGTGGCGCTGCAGGTTACTTTTTTGATGGAGTTAAATAGGGATTTGGAATCGCGGGCTGCTGAGGCAGACTCCATCTCCTCAGCAACCCGCGACCACCACCCATCCTTGCAGCGCCTCACGGCTCTCCAAACCTCCGAGCGAAGGCTGTGGTAAGCCTCCTCATTCTCTGACGTGGGATTCTGTAGCCGATTAGAGTGGGCCTGTCGCTTTTTCTCAACCATCCTGAACACCTCCTCTGTCAGCCAGGGTCTCTGGGGAGGTCTGGACCGCGTACCCAAAGCAGCCATTGCAGCTGCATGAGTCAGAGTCCTAAACCTCGCCCATTTACCCTCGACATCAGGAGGAGTGGGGGACGATGCCAACCCCAGCCGCAAGCGATGATGAAATTCTAGCTTGCAACTTTCATCAGCTAACTGAGACCAGACCACTTTAGTTTGGAATGGGGTCCTGGGTGTACACCCACCACCGGAGTAGAAGAATGGCAGGCGCATCTTACAGATGACTAGTCGATGGTCAGAGGGCAGATCAGCTCCACAGTAGGTCCTGGTGTCAAGGACATGGGCCCGCATCCGCTGGTCCGTCACTATTTAGTCCAGCAGATGTTCTTGCTTGGACCCGGCATGCATCCATGATGTTGTGTGGATGCGCCGATGCCGGAACGGTGTGTTGGTAATTACACGCCCATGGGCTGTACAAAAATCACTCCAGACCAGGTGCCAGCATCATGACCAACTCGGGCATTGAAGTCACCCAACAAGTTGACTCTATCCCGAGGGGCCACTTTAGCCAGCACCTGTGACAAGAGGTCATAGAAGGCATCTAACTCATCGGCTTTTCCTGCATCCCTCTACGGATGTTCGTCTTCGGTGGGGGGATAAGTAACCATGACCACCACTCCTCGCCTCCAGTTTATGGGAAGGCGAGCCCAAAGTAGCCTGGGGTTAACAGCTTCCCACACCTCACTGCCACGCTCACACGCCCCCTTCATTCTTGTGTTCAAAAGAAGAGCCACACCCTGTTGTTTGGCAGTCTCCTGCCCCGAGTAGAGGACTGTCCACCCCTCATGGTGGCAGGAGCCAGAACCGGTCCACCGGACCTCCTGAATGCCACAGAGATCCAGGCGGTACCGGTCCAGCTCCCGACAGAGGAGTGGCAGCCTCTCCTCCGCAGTGAGCATTCGAACATTCCACGTGGCCACACGAAGTGGCTTTTCGTTGTTTCTGGAGGAGCCCCGAGGGTAAAGATTCAATCTGTTGGCTCCGCTAATTGGGGTTTGGCCAGGAGACGTCATAGACGCCTGTCCCCCCAGGTCCTCCGGCACAAGCGTATTAGTTACATATTTAAGTCGTGGTTTAGTGGTAATTAATTGAAGGTGGAGGAGGGGTTACCAGCCCCTCGCTCCCATCCAGAGCCCCTGTTTAGCCACTGTGGTGGTCACAGACGGCATGAGGGGAGAGGCCAATCGGAATTGGCCCTCCCCCCACAGCACTGTCCACGACAGAGCTGCCGGTCCGGCACTGCGAGGAGGTAGGGGGTTGTTTTGCCGGACCAGGTACACACACACCCCCAGGTACACACACACCCCCAGGTACACACACACACGTACCTCCAGGGCCTGGCCGGATTCGCTCGCCACTGACGTTGGCCGTGTGTGGGTGGCGCTCGCGCGCAGGCATCCTGAAGAGCTCCTGCAAGATCGACGTGCGCTGGTTCCCCTTCGACGTGCAGAGCTGCGACCTCAAGTTCGGCTCGTGGACGCACGATGGCTGGCTCATCGACCTGCACCTGCTGCATGCCGACACCTCAGGGTACCTGCCCAACGGGGAGTGGGACCTCATTGGTGAGCGCTGGGGCTCCGTGCGGTACAAGGCCATGTGCCGTGCGGCATCGTGCGTGGCGCGGTGTTTTGTTTCTCGCTTGGCGCCATGCTGTACGTGGTTCGGGGTGCAATGCCCTGCACGCGGTGTGGTGTGCGTTGCACAGGCGTGGTGGGCAAGCGGAACGAGCTCTTCTACGAGTGCTGCCAGGAGCCGTACACGGACGTGACGTACACGCTGCTGCTGCGGCGCCGCACCCTCTACTACGCGCTCAACCTGCTGCTGCCCTGCATGCTGATCTCCGCACTTGCACTGCTTGTCTTCCTGCTGCCCGCAGAGTCTGGAGAGAAGATCTCCCTTGGTGAACTCACGCACAACTGAGTCACAGGGTGGGCGGATGAGCTCGTGGTTATATTGATGATATTATTGCGAAGGGAAATATCGTAATTAAACTTCGATTGATTGATGACTAGATAAGTGGATAGCTAAGTGAGTGGCCGGCCGGGCGAGTGGTCGGCCAGGTGTGTGGCTGTCCGGGTGAGTGTCCCGTCGGGTGAGTGGCATCTATAGAATGAGCTCCTGTCCTTCTCGCTAACTCTGCCCGGCATCTGTGTGAATAATTAATCAGTTGAGCTGCGATGTGTGCACTTGGTTTTTGCTGAAACGCGGCGCCATGCAGTCCCTCGCACCTCCGGGCACTTTTTCAGTGACGCTTCAGCTGAGTTCGCAGAACTCGACACCGGGGAGAAAAAGGCGGCCGGGGTGTGGCATTGCCTACCCACGCCCACGTGCTCCGTACAGGCCTTCATAGTTAAATTTCGATTTAAAGCTTTCGTGACTGCAATGATTCATCTTCTTTGGTTCTTTCGGTAAAGTCACGTAGAATGAGAATAAAATAATACATTTATAAAATAAAATAACACAATAATATTCTCACGACGTTTCGGCCACAACACAAGCGGCCTTCATAGGTTCCACTCGCTGGCAGCACTTGCCCAAACAGCCCTTGTGGGCTACCTGGGTGGTCTTTGCGTGTTTGTGTGCGCGTGCAGGCATCACGGTGCTGCTGTCCCTCACCGTGTTTATGCTGCTCGTGGCCGAGATCATGCCGGCCACATCGGACTCTGTGCCACTCATCGGTGCTCACACACTCCGCACAACCCCGACACAACACCGCAGCACACCAACCTGCAGCACATCTCCCCAGACATCACGTGATCGCACCACACCGCATCAATATGTCACCCCTCACACCGCCACCCCACATCAAGCCACACAACGAGCACATCACATACCACACGAGAGCACACCCCAGCCTACTGCTGCACGTTGCTGCGCCGCACACATGATACCAAATCATGCCAACCGTGGTGCAACCGCTCCGTGTCCCCGCCCCCACCCCCCGCCCGCCCCCCCCCCCCCCTGTGCAGGACAATACTTTGCCAGCACGCTGATGATCGTGGGCTTCTCGGTGGTGGTGACCGTGCTGGTGCTGCAGTGCCACCACCACGACCCTGATGGCACCAATATGCCCACCTGGGTGAGGGCGGCGCCAACACCACCTCCGCCACCACTAATGCCACCATCACTACCAGCACCACTACTTGTTCAGGGGGTCTTTGGGTTTGCGCGTGCTTCTGTGTGTGAACTTGTGAGCCCAGTAGGTAAGCAAGTGTTTGAGTAGGTGAGTGGTGAGTGAGTGGTGGGTAGTTGAGTGAGTGGGTGTGTGGGTGGAGCGGTAGTATAGAGGTTAGCGCACTGCCCTATGAACCCAACGACCTGAGTCCGATTCTTGCTCACAGCCAACACCAGTGCTATTTATCTGAATCGGTCCTGGGCCACCCCTAGTTCAACTCAGCCACAAATGAGTACCTGTTGCGGTGTCTAAACATCGTCACGAGGGAGACAAATGTGGTGGTGCTGGTCACCCACCCCCTCAAGTCCCGTGCCGGTAATCCAATAGGTGCTACTCGCCAACAGCCCTTGCCCCAACAGTCTGTTAAAGGCTACATGGGGGATCTTTGTCTTTGTGTCGGTGAGTGAGCGGGTGAGTGGGTGAGTCAAATTCAAGTGCCTGGGAGATTATCTCACAGGATGGAGGGCTGGGCCCAACGCTGTGGTTGGGTTAGGAGAATATTAGCCAGGGACATTTTAAAGAACTCAAGTTCCAGGTAATTCATATTCTTAGCTCTTTCGGTAAAGTCACGTTGAAGGGAAACAATAAAATAATAATATATATATAAAACAATACAATTCTCACGACGTTTCGACCATAACATAAACGGTCGTCATCAGGTGTGTCGGTTTACATTAATTTATTTATTTTTAAACAGTGTATTTATTTATTAAAAAAAACGTCAGCGCCACGCGCAGCGATTTGGTGGGTTATTTAGAAGGACTAGTCCATCTATGTTCTGAAAAGAGGAGGGGGGAGACGAAAAATTAATGTATGCTGTCTGAAAGCCACTGTAAGCGTGAACAATCAATTATGACCTGAAATGGTTAATCAAATCTTTCCAATGATTTCTAAGCCAGAATCCATCTAACGTTCATGAGGCTATCCACATATACAAGCACAGAGACAATTTCAACCGAGAAGATGTATGTCACGTCCGTGTACGGCTCCTGGATTCTGGCTTAGCAATCATTGGAAAGATTTGATTAACCATTTCAGGTCTTAATTGATTGTTCACGCTTACAGTGGCTTTCAGACAGCATACATTAATTTTTCGTCTCCCCCCTCCTCTTTTCAGAACATAGATGGACTAGTCCTAAATAAACTGCCAAATCGCTGCACGTGGCGCTGACGTTTTTTTTTATAAATAAATACACTGTTTAAAAATAAATAAATTAATGCAAACCGACACACCTGATGACGACCGTTTGTCTTATGGTCGAAATGTCGTGAGAATTGTATTGTTTTATATATATTTTATTATTTTATTGTTTCCCTTCAACGTGACTTTACCGAAAGAGCTAAGAATATGAATTACTGCAGTCACGAAAGCTTTAAATCAAAATTCAAGTTCCAGGTGTTTGGGCCATTAGCAGATTTGATAATGGGTGATCGTGATGATGGTGATGATGATGGTGGTGGTGGTGATAATGTTGTTGTTGTTTCCAGGTGCGGGTATTGCTGGTGCACTGGTGTGCCTGGTTGTTGCGGATGAAACAGCCGGTGAGAGATGCGAGGTCAGGCGGTCCCCATGGCAGCCCGGCGCCGTGGAAACCACCGTGCCTGAGCGAGCACCCGGGGACCGGGGCCGACAGGGGCCAGGTAACCACCGCCACTCAACCGCACAACCACAGCCATAACAACACTCGTGGCTACACCGGTAATCACAATCCTGACAACACTTAAGCAAGTACACTCATGATAACACCCATAACTACAGTTATGCACAATCACAGCCACTCAACTACTCACAACCATTCAACCACACTCACAACCACTCAACCACAATCACAAACACTCAACCACACTCACAACCACCCAACCACACTGACAACCACCCAATCGCACAACCACGCACAGCTGCTCAACACCACGCGTGCATGTGCCCCACCACAGGGAGTCTCCGCGCAGTTCCATGGCCGGAGCGTGGAGGAGCCGATGCATGAATACTTCCACCTTCAGCAGGGAGCCTATCTCCACCAGGGGGCCTACCTCCACCAGGGGTCCCAGCTGCACCAGGGGGCCCAGGCATGCAATCCCGTCGCACAGCAGCAGCAGCACCTCTTCCAGGAGGACAGCTGCTGCCCTGGCTGCCCCAACATAGCAGGGGCAGCAGGAGGAGAAGGAGGAGGAGCAGCCCGGCAGGAGTCCCCCTTGCAGAGCTGCGAGCTGGCTGGGCTACTGGCGGAGGTGCACTACCTGGCGGAGCGAATGCGGGCGGCGGACGCGGGCGCCCGGCTCGGGGGGGAGTGGCGCTTCGCGGCGGCGGTGATCGACCGCCTGTGCCTCATCGCATTCTCCATTGTCACCATCTCCTCCACGGCCGCAATCCTTGTGTCTGCGCCCAGCTTCATGCAGGCCATCACCAAGGACTTCGGGTGACGGGGGAGCGCGGAGGAGGAGGTGGGGGAGGTAGGAGGAGGAGGGGGGTGGAGGAGGAAGAAAAAGGAGGAGGTAGAGGAGGAGGGGTGGAGTACCCCCAGTAATAATCATCGTCATCATAATTATCAGGAGCAGTGTCATCGTCGCACTAGACGCTCAGGTCTGATGGTGGCAATGGGGGCCGATTTGGTGCTAGGGTGGCCACCTGACCTGGCGTGAACCTGGGTGAGTGGTTGAAGGGTTGCGTGCCTGTGAGTGCGGTTGCGTGGCTGTGAGTGCGGTTGCGTAGCTGTGAGTGTGGTTGGGTGGAGGTGAGTTCTTGCAGCTGTGCTGACCTCTCCCGTGCTGTGGGGGAGGTGGTGACCCTAGCCGAGGGAGGGCGACGGCCTCCAACGAAAATATTCACAATCATCATTGCCATCATCGCAATCATCGTCGCCATCGCTATGTCCACCTGTATTCCCACCTCACTTGTACTGCTTGCTTGCGTGAAGGCAGGTGGTTTAATTTTGGTGAGCCGGAATATATAAATATATGTGTGTATGTGCCCGGCACACCACGTCCAGTATACTGTCTGGCTACGGCTGTGGCTGCTGCGAGTCGTGGGCAACCTCCCGCTGATTTCACCGAGAGCCAGAAAATATTGAGTGAAAAATGTATTCGCTCACCTGCACTCACCTGCACTCACCTGCATGTACTCACACACTTGGACTAACATGTATGTACAGTGAGGGAAAAAAGTATTTGATCCCCTGCTGATTTTGTACATTTGCCCACTGACTAAGAAATGATCAGTCTATCATTTTAATGGTAGGTTTATTTGAACAGTGAGAGACAGAATAACAACAACAAAAATCCGGAAAAACGCATGTCAAAAATGTTATAACTTGATTTGCATTTTAATGAGGGAAATAAGTATTTGACCCCCTCTCAATCAGAAAGATTTCTGGCTCCCAGGTGTCTTTTTTACAGGTAACGAGCTGAGATTAGGAGCACACTCTTAAAAGGAGTGCTCCTAATCTCAGCTTGTTACCTGTATAAAAGACACCTGTCCACAGAAGCAATCAATCAGATTCCAAACTCTCCACCATGGCCAAGACCAAAGAGCTCTCCAAGGATGTCAGGGACAAGATTGTAGACCTACACAAGGCTGGAATGGGGCTACAAGACCATTGCCAAGCAGCTTGGTAAGAAGGTGACAACAGTTGGTGTGATTATTTGCAAATGGAAGAAACACAAAAGAACTGTCAATCTCCCTCGGCCTGGGGCTCCATGCAAGATCTCACCTCGTGCAGTTGCAATGATCATGAGAACGGTGAGGAATCAGCCCAGAACTACACGGGAGGATCTTGTCAATAATCTCAAGGCAGCTGGGACCATAGTCACCAAGAAAACAATTGGTAACACTATGCCGTGAAGGACTGAAATCCTGCAGCGCCCGCAAGGTCCCCCTGCTCAAGAAAGCACATATACATGCCCGTCTGAAGTTTGCCAATGAACATCTGAATGATTCAGAGGACAACTGGGTGAAAGTGTTGTGGTCAGATGAGACCAAAATGGAGCTCTGGCATCAACTCAACTCGCCGTGTTTGGAGGAGGAATGCTTCTTATGACCCCAAGAACACCATCCCCACCGTCAAACATGGAGGTGGAAACATGCTTTGGGGGTGTTTTTCTGCTAAGGGGACAGGACAACGTCACCGCACCAAAGGGACGATGGACGGAGCCATGTGCCATCAAATCTTGGGTGAGAACCTCCTTCCCTCAGCCAGGGCATTGAAAATGGGTTGTGGATGGGTATTCCAGTATGACAATGACTCAAAACACGGCCAAATCAACAAAGGAGTGGCTCAAGAAGAAGCACATTAAGGTCCTGGAGTGGCCTAGCCAGTCTCCAGACCTTAATCCCATAGAAAATCTGTGGAGGGAGCTGAAGGTTCGAGTTGCTAAACGTCAGCCTCGAAACCTTTAATGACTTGGAGAAGATCTACAAAGAAGAGTGGGACAAAATCCCTCCTGAGATGTGTGCAAACCTGGTGGCCAACTACAAGAAACGTCTGACCTCTGCGATTGCCAACTAGGGTTTTGCCACCAAGTACTAAGTCATGCTTTTCAGAGGGGTCAAATACTTATTTCCCTCATTAAAATGCAAATCAATTTATAACATTTTTGACATGCGTTTTTCCGGATTTTTTTGTTGTTATTCTGTCTCTCACTGTTCAAATAAACCTACCATTAAAATTATAGACTGATCATTTCTTCGTCAGTGGGCAAACGTACAAAATCAGCAGGGGATCAAATACTTTTTTCCCTCACTGTAGTCACACACTTCAACTCCCCTGTATGTAGTCACACACTTGTACTAACATGTACTCAAATATTTGTACTCACACACGTGTACTCACCTGTATGTATTTACACGTGTGATCTCACCTGTATATAAGGTACTAACCCACCTGTATTTATTCACACACATGTACTCCTCTGTATGTCCTCACACACTTGTATTCACCTATACCCGCACTCATCACTACTCGCTGACCCGCACTCACGTGTACTCGCCTGTATTCACCTATACTCACTCACCTGTATACACTCACCTGCTCTCATCTGTATCAGGATCAATAAAGACCCTGAATTGAATCATGATTTTTCCTGACCCCTATGTGGGGTCCCGAAGGGGTTCTTAGAGAGGGTATCACTGAGGCGGGGTCCCTGGAGGAATCTTTGTCTGGCTCTGTGGAGGAGGCTCGTGAAGGACGCTGCTGGGCAGTGCCAGGCTAGGTGCACTTTGAGGGTACTGGACGGTTGGAGGCAGTCGCCCTTCAACAATGGATGGTGGAGGAGCGATGCTGACAACAACGAGTGGAGCTCTGGGCGGATAAAACGCAGTCAACCCGGGGCACCTGAGTCTGTCCCGTGACCTGCCAGCGAGCCTCAAGGTGCACCTAGCCTGGCACAAGCGCCTTGGTGTCGTCATCGCCACCGTTTTGCATGTGTGTGCTCGGCAGCGTGTGTGTGCTCGGCAGCGTGCGTGTGCTCGGCAGCGTGCGTGTCTGTGTGTGATTCTGCGGAGCAGTGGCACAGTGGTTAGCGCATTACGCCGCGACCTCTGCCACCCGAATTCAACTTCCGCTTACGGGGGGGGGGGGGGGTTCCAAAATCAGTTACGAATATCCGAACCAGTCCTGGATCTCCCGTAGGTCCACTCAGCGTTACATTGTTGCCTGGTGCGGTGTGTAAACTACAGCACAATACGAAGGGTGCCGAGCGTGGTAGCGGCCACACCGTCCCCTGATCGGTGCTGCTCGACTGGGTGGGAGGGAGACGGGACCCGGTGGGGTGAGGGGAGACGCGGGCAGGAACCGAGGGATACACTGGGGACTGGTGAGGAGACGGGGGCTGGAGTTTTCAATGCTTTCTCGTCTCCCGTCGTCTTCCTCCTTCCACCAAGGCCACTCAAGCGAAATTCCTCGTCAAGCGTTTCCTTCCAAAACAGAGTTCGGCAGACAGTTACAACAGCCCCCCCCCCCCCCCCAAAGCCTCCTCGCTACCCCCCCCCCCCTTCTGGTCCCACTCTGGCTCCACTGGGGCCCCGCTGGGGCCCTGCTGTGGCCCCGCTGTGGCCCCGCTCTGGCCCCGCTGTGGCCCCGCTCTGGCCCCGCTGTGGCCCCGCTCTGGCCCCGCTGTGGCCCCGCTCTGGCCCCGCTGGGGCCCTGCTGTGGGCCCGCTGTGGCCTCGCTCTGGCCCTACTGGGGGCCCGCTGGGGCCCTGCTCTCGCCCCGCTCTGGCCCTGCTGTGGGCCCCGCTGTGGCCCCGCTGTTGCCCTCGGCCGGGAGTGGCGGCGCGAGGCTGCACTGCCATCGGGGGGTCCGAGGCGCGACTCCCCCCGAGCGCGCCACCTCTCCCGGCCCAGTAGCGAGGCGACCGCTGAAATTTCGGGGTGGGCCACGTGATGACCGGACCGAATTCGTGTCGTCAAGACCCTTCACCAAATTGAATGATCAGATGCGAATTACTCAGCATGGCCCAGAGGATCGCTCGTCTCACGGGCGAGTGAGCTCGCCAACCACGGCTGACACGTCGTTAAACGCTTGTATAACGCGTGGCTATGGATTTGTTTGGCTTATATTGGGTGGTGGAGGGTCTTTACGACAACATATTTGGTCGGATCATCACGTGGCCGAGCCCAAAATTAAATTCTGAATCAAATAATTTGGCGATGCTGCCGCTGCTGCGTTGGCAGTGGTACACAAACAACAACAGCAGCAGATCATTCGGCAACAACAACAACGCGTGCTTGCACGTGGCCTTTATATGGTTGCATTATACAGTACTAGGCGACGTTAGGTAGTGGTTGATAGTTGTGGTGGTTCACTGTGCGGTGGTGGTTGACACGGTGTGGTGGTGGTTGATTGTGGTGGTGGTTGTTGACAGTGTGGTTGTGGTGGTGGTTGATACAGTGTGGTGGTGGTTGAGACATTGTGATGGTGGTTGACACAATGTGGTCGTGGTTGACACGGTGTGGTGATGGTTGACAGTGTGGTGGTGGTTGACAGTGTGGTGGTGGTTGAGACTGGTGATGGTGGTTGACACTGGTGATGGTGGTGGTTTACACGGTGTGGTGATGGTTGACAGTGTGGTGCCGGTTGACACAATGTGGTGGTGGTTGACACGGTGTGGTGCCGGTTGACAGTGTGGTGGTGGTGATGGTGGTTGACACAATGTGGTGGTGGTTTACACGGTGTGGTGATGGTTGACAGTGTGGTGCCGGTTGACAGTGTGATGCTGGTTGACAGTGTGGTGGTGGTGATGGTGGTGGTTGATACTGGTGGTGCTGGTTGACAGTGTAACGAGATAACGGTATTGCCTAGGACGAGGACCCATATCTCACAGAGGGAAGTTCACCATCTTCTTGGTTCTTTCGGTAAAGTCACGTAGAATGGAAATAAAATAATAAAAATAAAACATAAAATAAAATTCTCACGACGTTCGGCCACAACACAAGTAGCCTTCCTCAGGTGAAGAAACAGGACTGTCCGGAAGACAGTGCTTGAGTGAACCCTGCCAAGCTTGGCAGCGTCTTTTAAGCAGTGTGGGAGGAACAGAGCGCCTTGACAAAGGAGTTTACATATAAATTAGCATGTGACTGGGGGATTACCATGATGTTGGTGTGAGGGATAAGCACCACAGAGAGCGACGAGCTTTGTTCAGACGGACGAGTCCATCTATGTTCGGAACGGAGGAGGGGGGAGAGGAGGTTACATATAAATAAGCATGTAACTGGGGGATTAGCATGATGTTGGTGTGAGGGATAAGCACCACCGAGAGCGACGAGCTATGTTCAGACGGACGAGTCCATCTATGTTTCGAACGGAGGAGTGGGGAGAGGAGTTGACATATCAACAGTAAATTAGCATGCAACTGGGGGATTAGCATGATGTTGGTGTGAGGGATAAGCACCACCGAGAGCGACGAGCTTTGTTCAGACGGACGAGTCCATCTATGTTTGGAACGGAGGAGGGGGGGGGAAGAGGAGGAAACAGCCAAGGTGCGCTGCTCTGTCCTGTGTTGCGTTAACTAGACATTAGAATATTATACCTTCCAATCTAAACTACATTGTATAATATCGTATCCATAGACAAACCCCACCCTTGAATTATACAATGCGTTACTATACACTACCCTATACTTTAGACTATAAAATATTAGACTTGTAGTATTACACTATGTATTATTCTACTAACCCTACTGTATACCACACTGCTGTATATTCACTATACAATTACGGTACTATATATTGCCTTATGAATTATGTTAAACATTACACTGTTATACATT